TCTTAATATTATGACGAACTGAGTCGATGTCGTAATCCACATACGCCGTGGCTAAACGGTTCGGTCTGGTGAATCCATTTGGTATGGCGAACCGATTCGGTGTGGTTAATCGGTTCGACGATTTGACGATGTAGATCGGCTGTGTGAGTCAGCTGGCAACACAGAGCGGTTTGATGAGGCGGTACGACGAGAAGACATCTGATGATGCGCCAATAAAATTACCACCGTCCGACATGGGAATCTCCGGACGACGAGCAGTTAATACCGATCGTTAAAAGCGGGGGGTTTGTCGGGTGATCAACTGTTGAAGTGTAACGATCTCTGTCTGCTAGCCAACGGGAGCAAGCATGTCTACATGCTCTAAAAACGTCCTTGATAAGGGAGCAAATTCCCAACAAGGTTTGCTCCAGGAACACAGGTCAATACAACCCACACATGACGAGTGGGGATCCGAGGAAGTAAATATTGTTACAGTGTGCCCAAAATTACGCTACTTAGGGTCAACAGCAAGAAGCATGGTGTCAAAACCCGGAGCTCGAGAGGGATCAAGCGCAGGATTCCAAGACTCAGCAATAACCTATGACCGAGGCAAAGTAGAAGTGGCATGGCGTGAAGGTGAACGCCGATCCACTGAACCATAGTTGAGTTGAGTTGAGTTGAGTTGAGCTTTACGTCACATCGGCATTTTTCCAGCCATATAGTGACGAGAACAAGTTTGCATTAGTAAATATTGTAAGTACATACTCGGAATGAGTTTTATTTCAAAGACATTTATTTATTGCATTGTCATTCGAAAGCAGAAAAAATCATAGCATCAAATTTATAGGCAGGCGGTTTGTTACATTTCATAGTTACAATTTATGGTTGTTACATTTCACAGTTACAGTTTATGATACAGATCAACTTCCCTCAGGTAGTTCAGTATCAGATGGGCGCTCACGCGTGAGAACAGATCTTTTAGGTTTGTTGCATCATAATGTGAGTCCCTTGCAGGCGATAAGTCCACGCATTCAAGCAGAATACACTGAACCATAACGCAGCCTAGCAGGTGAAACCACCCGCACAGAAACGATGTTAATGAGGGGAACTATCACGTAAAGGTGCTGACCGCAAGTGCTCACTAGGGATATCCTGATTCACCTGAGGTGAATGAGACCAACTACGAGAATCACTCTGACGAAAACACACCGTACGGCTAGGTGAACCGGATCGAAATGGCGAACCACTTCGACTAGGTGAGACTGAACGACTATGTGAATCAAAACGCTGTGGTGAATTGATTCGACTATGAGATGATGAGTCGAACTGAAACCTATGTTGAGGTGAACTGAGTCGGGAATGTGAACCGGTTTGTCCTGGTGAATCCATTCGAGTTCGGTCTGGTGAGCCGGCTTGGCTGAGTGAACTAGTTCGACCCTTGGCAATGATACGGCTAGGTGAATGGTTCCGTTCTAGTGAACCAACACTGGCATTAGACCCAATTCTGATTGGTGAAATGAATCGAGGTGGTGAATCGGTTCGGACTGGTACATTGGAAGGAAGACGAGAGCTCGAGCGTGAACGAGATCTAGAACGACACTTCCCTGCAGTAGAAGAACGAATTCGAACCTCCGAACCAGATGGTGACTCAACTCGTGTGGGTGAATTGTTTCGGTGGGATGAAACTGTACGAAGAGGAGAACAGTTATGTTCCAACCACGCCGAGCCGAGCTTCGATGATGAATGCTTGGATTTAGAAGTTTTCGAGGACTTTGAACGGTCCGAAGAAACGGATCTACGAGATGAAGTAGATCGCAGGTCTTGTGTAGAGGAAATATCAGTCATTACCACCCTTGCATGCCCATGAGAACTTGAGCTAGGTGAGGAAAGCGTCCCAAACGCCATTTACATTCTCAGACAAATAGGAATCAGACGAAGCATCCATAAAATCTTCGTTAGGAGAGACGGGAGATTTAGAACGACGAGCAGGTAGGGTGGGGTGATGTAAACATTGTTTTTTAGCGGGAGATGGACCAGATCCTGCATGAGCATTCCTGGCCCTATGTGCCAAACGTCTGGCACAAGCATGTCTGTAAGCTTTAAAATCCTCATTAGACAGTCCTGAATACTTAGGACAACGTTTGTCCCAATCACAACAACCCGCATAATCAACACATGATGTGTGTGGGTCTCAAGCTGAAAAACTTTATTACGCTGAGCGCAAAACTTCGTTTCTGGCCTGAACAGGCTTAACCATGTTGAGCAATTATCAGACGGAAAAAAATCACGTCCACTCTGTCGAGCGACAAGAAAGAGAATGAGTATGGAAGGTGATCACGTGGGTGAGGACTGCGCATGCCACGTGCTGTCACGGCCTAGTGAGCATGGCTAAGGCAGGAAGGCATGCACAGCACGGGGACAGGGACAAGGAAGGCCTGGACCAAAGTTTAATTCGTTTCCACTCATGGTCGAATGAAGAGAGAGAGGTGCAAGTCGTGAGATAGGATAAGTTTAAAAATTATGCACTTTTGGTGGAAAAAATGAAATCTTTAAATCACAAATGTGTCCTTATCGATGCTGATTGGTGGGAACAAAATTTAAGGTCAAGGGTGTTCATAGTGATTTTATAAATAGAAAAATAGTGCAGAAAAAATAGCCGTAAATGGATGAAATTCTCCCAAAACATGCATTAATGTCTTTGCACTCAGTATGTCAACCACAAATTCAAAGGAGAAGTGTTAAAGGAACTAAGTGGAAGATATGTTTTTATTGAATAGTTGCATATGCAGTGAGTGAGAGTTTCCTGCCTTGTGTGATATGTTGCAGTCATCAGTGGTTATCATTATGATACCGTTGGTCTAGCCCTACTTGATGATAAATCTTTGATTTAGGGAATGTATAACAATTTTGATGATCATTTATTCAGTGAAAATTATGTGTTATATCCCACCAGTATGTAATACCTTGTCTGTCAGTCCGTCTGTACTGTCCGTAATTCACCCGTTGTGAAAGTCACTCATTTTGAATTTGTTTTAAAATGCCTTTGTCATTTGGAAAAAAACATTTTAAGATATGATTTATTAAGTATATACTTTTTTCTTTAAAATAAGAAAGTTTCATTAGTGTAATAACACATTTTCCCCACAAAATAAAATTTTCAAAAACATATTTCATCATAACAAAACTATTAAACCAAGTCTAGCTCTAAATATAGTTATTACAAATCTTCCATTTACCACAGCCTGTAGTGCACATACTATTTCCCATGTTGGTGAGAAGGGATTTGCTTCAAATCAACGTAAACGGAGAGTACCCTCATGACCTGGGTTTCAGCCCTCACTGACTGAGGTCGGGATGAGTTATCCGCCCTTACCTTAAGCATTGCTAATATAATTTAGCGATATCCTAAAACGTTTTTCACATCATCGTAAAAAAACCATAAGATAAAAGCATATTATTTTCCATATCAATGCATACAGAAATGAGTGCTGAATGCAAAAATATAAGTGACATTCTCATGGAGCGATTTATTACTAAAACCAGCGTACCACAATAATCAGTGATAATTCAGTATGACGAAATAACAGGGTTGCAATTACAGATACTTTCATTGCCGAGTTTAACAGAATACAAAAACAAACAACGAAATAATGTACACTGTGTGAAAAAGGAAGAACCGATCGTCCAATACAACCCAGTAACTAAGGACTTTGCTGACGTTTCACTTGACAAGATGTACTGGAAAAATGTCTATTTTCCACGATTTCGCCGAAGGAAGCCATTTTATTTGTCCACAACAAAGGGGATCACCACAGTGCATGGTATATTCCTTTCGAAGATAGTATGTGCTCCATACATATGTCAGATACTTACAATAAATGGTAGTCGTCCCTTACAAAATCAAATGAAAGTAGTTTAACTTACCGTGGATGATATAGATGAAGGTAAAAACACCGATGTGAGCCTTCAAATCTCGCAGATCTCGCAAAGCCTCGCGGTAATGATCGCGTTGTCTCGCGCGGCAGTGATCTATTTAGCTCTGAGGCCCGTCCCTCGGTATATGCATCAGATGGTCTCTGATGCAAGTGACGTTGGAGAAGGAGATGTCCTGACTGATAGTATTCGCGAAGGTTTCACAAACATTAGATACGTCATTCGACCTTGGAAAAAAGTCATTCTTGCTCTGTTGTTTGCTTTGCAACCCTTGTACCTGGTCCAAATACTCGAATGTACAGTGATCACAACCCGCTGACTTCCCTCCGAACGATAAGGAAAGAAACTCCAAGCTGAATGCACTGTAGCTTGCCTCATATTAAAGGCAAAGACAGCGTTATTGTTGATACATATTAAGAGATGTTTGAATGTGATCAGTTATGACAGCTCATATGTTTAAACATAGCACGTACAAGTCTAAAACTATTCATACAATGTCTAAGTGCGGTCTGTGGTCGGAAAATACGTAGCGTGATACACTTTCATACATACAGCCTGCTTGAGAGACAGCGCGTGAGTGTTCAGCATAAGTGGTCATTAATTAGACTGACTGTACAAGTACTGATTAACGGTCTTCCTTTTGGAAGTCATTCATGAATGTGTGCAAGTGTTGGCACTTTCAGTTATATCTCTCTTCAGTTACTTAACGCACTGTAGTGCCGCTGAAGGGGTCGTTGTCGGCACAGGTACTACAGATACGTACCCCAGGTACGTTTCTGTATACAGATATGTACCCTAAACAAAGTCAAAATACAGAAACGTACCCGGTACCCTAAAAGGCAGACGAGTCCATATTCCGCAATCCAAAACGGAAACTGTATGTAGTTGTTCCCGTCCAGCTGGTTCCGAGTGGTATTATGCATCGGGCGTTACTGTGTATTCTCACATTACTTACATATAACGCAATCAAATGTATCTAATACAACAGCATGACAGTTCCGGTCAAGAATACGACACAGTGTGGGAATGGAATCTTCCTAGGGTACGTTTCTGTATTCTCATTATGGCCAGGGTATACAGAAACGTACCTGGGGTACATATCTGTAGTACCCGTGCCCACAACGACCCCTTCAGCTGTAGTGCCTCGGCCAAAGGATCAATATTATTGTATAGTCGGAGCATTACAGTAAGGTGCATTGACCACAACACCCTCGATGTACGAATAGGAGCCATGGCTGGGTGTTAAGGAAAGGCACCTACCTGTGAGAGCCATGACGCTGCGTCTGGTCTGGTTCCAACTGGTGTAGTCATTAGGTCGTGCTCCGCCAGCAACTAGGTCACTGTGCATGTAACATGTGGCTAATCACAATGCGGGTTAGACAACACTTTACTGCCAATCCTACCATGCATAAGCTTAGTTAAAACAAATATTGCATAGTGTACAGTTACTAGGACCGGAGGTTATCCAACAACACATAAACCCGCCTAGCTCCATGTGCTGCAGGCTGCTGTTGGGGCAGAACGTCGCAAGAATAGATAATTCAGTGAAACCCGCATCTCAACCATCTATTGATTCTCACACAGAAACCACGAATAGGCTATTAATGGACTGCAAGGCGTGAATGTACGTTCCCATAGGGGTACCGATACTGGTAGGGCAAGACCATTTACATGCGAACACTTTGGACCCTGGAGTTCAACAATCCAATCAGATAGATTTCCTTTTACTGGATATGTTTCTATGTAACAATGACAGACAGACAGACAATGGACCGACCCATCAGATAAGTCTGTCAGTGTTCGCTGTAACAATGTCGACCAATGGACCGACCCATCAGATATGTCTGTCAGCGTTCGCTGTAACAATGTCGACCAATGGACCGACCCATCAGATATGTCTGTCAGTGTTCACTGTAACAATGTCGACCAATGGACCGACCCATCAGATATCTGTCAGTGTTCTGCCAGTAACAATGTTCATGGACTGTGTCTGCCAATGTCGACCAATGTCGACCAATGGACTGACCCATCAGATATGTCTGCCAGTGTTCACTGTAACAATGTCGACCAATGGACTGACCCATCAGATATGTCTGCCAGTGTTCACTGTAACAATGTCGACCAATGGACCGACCCATCAGATATGTCTGCCAGTGTTCACTGTAACAATGTCGACCAATGGACCGACCCATCAGATATGTCTGCCAGTGTTCGCTGTAACAATGTCGACCAATGGACCGACCCATCAGATATGTCTGCCAGTGTTCACTGTAACAATGTCGACCAATGGACCGACCCATCAGATATGTCTGCCAGTGTTCGCTGTAACAATGTCGACCAATGGACCGACCCATCAGATATGTCTGCCAGTGTTCACTGTAACAATGTCGACCAATGGACCGACCCATCAGATATGTCTGCCAGTGTTCGCTGTAACAATGTCGACCAATGGACCGACCCATCAGATATGTCTGCCAGTGTTCGCTGTAACAATGTCGACCAATGGACCGACCCATCATGTCTGCCATGTTCTGCTGTAACAGTGTTCACTGTAACAATGTCGACCAATGGACCGACCCATCAGATATGTCTGCCAGTGTTCGCTGTAACAATGTCGACCAATGGACCGACCCATCAGATATGTCTGCCAGTGTTCGCTGTAACAATGTCGACCAATGGACCGACCCATCAGAAATGTCTGCCAGTGTTCACTGTAACAACGTCGACCAATGGACTGACCCATCAGATATGTCTGCCAGTGTTCGCTGTAACAATGTCGGGCAATGGGTTGGGCACAAGTTATCCAACTTAGGAACTCCCTCTCCCAAAAGTTACACGTTTCATATTTATAGTATAAAAACATTGACAACATGTATTTGTTGAGTGAATTTACAAGATCTTTAAAGATGATGTGTAAAGTATATACAAGAATAAAACTACAAAAGATCTTTCAGTGAGCTTAATATATCCATGTACCTGTTCAAGTAATAATTCATTTTCATATAGTGATAGTGTAACATGACCAAATAACAATAAATCTAGATTAATAGGTATGCGATGCTTAACGACAGCATTTACATTTACAAACATATCTTTACGCTGCTTTGTATACAAAGAACATTCTAAAAGATAATGCCATGAATTTTCACAAGGACAACCACAAGCACAAGAAACATCTGATCTTAAATCAATTCTAAATACATCGTAATCAAGCTGACTTGTATTGTACCTCAGGTTTGTGTGAATAATGTTAAGTTTTCTTGTACCAGGCCAAAAGAATGACGGGGCTGCATTTATTTTACTTTGAATTTTCAATTTAAAACTTCCTAAAGAGTCTGTGTTTCTTATTTCTATGGGAACTTTGTTCCACATTCGTATAGTAGATAGAATAAATGATGATAAGGAAAGTTTCAATCTCGTAAATGGAAGGGAGAATTTTAAAGAGTTGCGAAGGTTATAAGATGAGTTTTGGTCAACATATGTAGGTAGTAATTCCTGGAGGTATGATGGTGCAATATTGTGAAGAATCTTATAAAATAAGCACAGTTTTCTTTTTCTTCTTTGTTCACTTAGGGTTTCCCAACTAGTTTCAAAATACAAATGATCACGAGAAGTATATTTTGGAAGTCCTGTCACTATACGAGCTGCTTCTAACTGTAACTGCTCTGAGAAGTTAGTTTGATCAGCTGTACATCCATCTCATAATTCACACGCATATATACATGTATACTCTCCACAAAAAGAAACGCATCATGAAAATAGCAATTTCATGTAGCAATGAATTAAAACGTGATTTATTTTACAAAAGGTTTTGCTCTGTTTATGAGTCCTATGGTGTTTATGTTTTGAAACATCACAACAAAACGCACCATCCGTAAAATACCCGTATTTAACAGCATGATTTGCAATTTCGGCGTGTAGTGTCACAGAATACACAATTCACATGCAATCTACGTGAAAGTTGGGGATCAGATAGTCTCAGTGATGGGTATAAAATGTTGATCGCTGTCTGTCGATTATTCACTGTATTTGGAATATTGTTGACGAACGCAAAATGCCACGTCTAAGTGAAGCCAACCGTCATATCGCCATTGGTTTGCTTGAAGCTGGCCAGTCTCAACGTGCAGTTGCCCGACGCATGAATGTTCACCAAAGCACCATTTCACGGCTCTGGGGAGATATCGCCGGCAGAATGCGGTAGCAGATGCCCCTCATAGTGGGCGACCTCGAGCGACCACTGCGGCGCAGGATCGCTACATCCGGGTACATCACCTGCGTCATCGAACAGCTACGGCGACCAGTACCGCTCGACAAATACCCGGATTAAGGAGGCTTTCTGCACAGACCGTCAGGAACAGGTTGAGTGAGGCTGGTTTACGTGCCAGAAGACCTTATTTTGGCCCTGTGCTTCGACAACAACATCGTCGACATCGAGTTCAATGGTGCACCAACGTTCAGGCCTGGAACCTACCGAATTGGCGTAGAATCTGGTTCAGTGATGAATCACGATTTCTATTGGAACGACGCGATGGAAGAATGCGGGTGTACAGACGTCGACGTGAACGTTTCGCCGACGCTTGCGTTCCCCAGGTGGACAGATTCGGCCGGCAGGTGTTATGATGTGGGGGGATGTCACCTGCCGTAGGAGAAGTGATTTGGTGATGATCCAGGGCAACCTGACAGCTCAACGGTACTGTGACGAAATCCTACGCCCACACATCCTTCCAATCATTGATCGCCAGAGGGAGTTGTTTCAACAGGACAATGCCAGGCCCCACACAGCACGTCACACTAGATACTTCCTCCAGAACCACAACATCAATGTGCTCCCCTGGCCCTCAAGATCACCGGACTTAAACCCGATCGAACATCTGTGGGATGCCCTGGACAGACGGGTGCGACGCCGTAACCCTCAGCCCCAGACACTTCAGCAACTCGAACAGGCACTACAGGCAGAGTGGGCTGCGATTGGGCAACACGAGATTCTGAGACTTGTTCGTTCGATGCCGAGGCGATGCCGTGCAGTTCTGGATGCCAACGGTGGTCACACGAGGTATTGACTTCAGCGCCACCACACGTCTCCATGTGACACTCAAACTGACTTTCCTCGAGTTGGTGCCAAAGACGGATAAGTCTGCATTCCCAGTGTGCAATTTCGCTATATTTCATTGTCTCATAAAGCCTACAAGATGTTTCAAAATAAACATAGAAATACAGTTAAAATTCCTATATGCGTTTCTTTTTTGGGAGAGTATATATTCAATGCAAGACAAGATTTATATAACTTGATTTTCTGCGGCAGCTCATTTCGTTGCTAGGCACAATAATTTTTCTGAGTGTAAGTTTGTCTCAGTATTATTCTTTTCTTATCGGACTATTTCAATTATGTATCCAGCTATATTGGAACCGTGTACTGGCGCGGCGTTTAGATAAGCCACTAGGCTTGTTCGCTTATCCAGGTTTCTGCATTGACGGCATAGAAATATGTTTAAACCATATAAATTGTCTAGCTTGTCACTATCTCTGGTCGAGAACAATACAGCTTCTGTCTTATCTGTGTTGTATTTGAGAAACCAGTCCTTAGCCCAATCACTTAACGAGCTTAAATTTTCATTCATAGTTACTTGTAATGATTGCATGTGTCACCAGCAAACAATCTTGTTGAGCAATTTAATACACCGGCTCTTTGCAGATACATTGTGGTAATATTTCTATAAGTTGATGTACAGTAGAGTGGCCTCGCTGAAAACCAGCCTGATATTTGTACAACAATTTGTTATCAAGAAAGTAGTTATTAAGATGTTTAAAAACGACCCTTTCAAATATTTTACCAACACAACTGATTAGTGATATCGGCCTATAATTAGATACCTTTGAATTGTCACCTTTCTTAAATAGCGGCATGACATGGGCCTTTTCCCAAACATTTGGGAAAGTACTCGATCTAAGAGAAAGATTAAATAATAAACAATGAACACTGCTTATAGTGTTAATAGTTTTCTTCAACAATTGATGACTAATTTTATCTGGTCCAGTTGCTTTCTTGGAAGGAATTGAATTAATGATATCAGAAATTTCTCTCACCCATCAGATAAGTTTATCAGTGTCCGCTGTAACAATTTCGAGTAATGGACCGACCCATCAGATAAGTCTGTGAGCGTTGTTACATCGTCGGGCAATAGACCGACCCATCAGAAAAGTACTCTGTTGCACTATTTGATTACTACTCTGTTACACTATTACATTAGGTACTCGGTTACATTATTACATTGATACTCTGTTACATTATTACATTAGGTACTCGGTTAGACCGCCTCCGTGGTGTAGTGGTTAGAACGCCCGCCCGGAGAGCGGAAGGTCGCGGGTTCGATCCCCGACCGCGTCATACGAAAAGACGTTAAAATATGGTACTTGTTGGTCCCTGACTGGCGCTCGGCAATAATGGGTACAGCAAGGACTGGTCGGCTCGGAGTCAGTATAATGTGTCTGAGTGGGGTATTCATGCTTCACTGCGGCATGGTATCTCAGTGAGCTAGCACTATAAAACCAGCTTCAGTCTGGGCTAGTACAAGCAGCCGCACATACACATACACACGCATGCACGTCGTCATATGAGCGAAATATTCTCAAGCACGACGTTAAACCCAATTTCACCTCACCTCACCTCGGTTACATTATTACATTGATACTCTGTTACATTATTACATTAGGTACTCGGTTACAGTATTACATTGATACTCTGTTACACTACTACATTGATACTCTGTTACACTACTACATTGATACTCTGTTACACTAATACATTGATACTCTGTTACATTATTACATTGATATTCTGTTACACTATTACATTGATATTCTGTTACATTATTACATTGATACTCTGTTACATTATTACATTAGGTACTGTGTTACAGTATTACATTGATACTCTGTTACACTACTACATTGATACTCTGTTACACTACTACATTGATACTCTGTTACATTATTACATTGATATTCTGTTACACTATTACATTGGTACTCTGTTACACTACTACATTGATACTCTGTTACACTAATACATTGATACTCTGTTACATTACTACATTGATATTCTGTTACACTATTACATTGATATTCTGTTACATTATTACATTGATACTCTGTTACACTATTACATTGATACTCTGTTACACTACTACATTGATATTCTGTTACATTATTACATTGATACTCTGTTACATTACTACATTGATATTCTGTTACACTATTACATTGATATTCTGTTACATTATTACATTGATACTCTGTTACACTATTACATTGATACTCTGTTACACTACTACATTGATATTCTGTTACATTATTACATTGATACTCTGTTACATTACTACATTGATACTCTGTTACACTACTACATTGATACTCTGTCACACTAATATTGATACTCTGTTACACTACTACATTGATACTCTGCTACACTACTACATTGATACTCTGTTACACTACTACATTGATACTCTGTTACACTACTACATTGATACTCTGTTACAGTACTACATTGATACTCTGTTACAATATTACATTGATACTCTGTTACACTACTACATGTACATTGATACTCTGTTACAGTACTACATTGGTTACTCTGTTACACTATTACATTGATACTCTGTTACACTACTACATTGATACTCTGTTACAATATTACATTGATACTCTGTTACACTACTACATTGATATTCTGTTACAGTATTACATTGATACTCTGTTACAATATTTCATTGATACTCTGTTACATCAGTACTCTCACACACCATTACTCTGTTGTGCTATTACACTGCACGCTTACACTGGTATGCAACTGAGTGATAGCCATGCTTGCTTGTGAGAGACTGTGGATGCAATATGTAGGGCGCAACAGACGCTGAAGGAATGTTGCAGCAATTTATTGATCACATCATGAATTTCATACAGTTTCGGTCAAGGTTAATTTGCAGTGTATCAGAGTGTTCATGCATTATACAGATATATTTTTTAAAACATCAATTGTTGATCTTGGAAAAGATTTAAGGCGATCCTCAGTGTGTTTCTGTACATGTGTGTACTGACTTCGTGTATGACTGATGATGTTACTTTGATGAGAGGACGCTTGTAAACATGGCCACCAACAGCAGAAGACCTTCCACTCTGGCTTGACTGCCTGCAACATGAGATGTTTACATATTGCACTGCAAACGTCCTGTAGGGTTAAATGAATAATGGTGAAAATGGATGCGGGAACGTGTATTTGGATATTTTGTACTGCAAACTTCTTTACTGTTGGGTTAGATGAAGAACGGTGACCATGGAGGCGGGGACATGTATTTTGTATTGTAAACTTACTCTAAAGTTAGATGAAGAACGGTGACCATGGAGGCGGGGACATGTATTTTGTATTGTAAACTTACTCTAAAGTTAGATGAAGAACGGTGACCATGGAGGCGGGGACATGTATTTTGTATTGTAAACTTACTCTAAAGTTAGATGAAGAACGGTGACCATTGAGGCGGGGACATGTATTTTGTATTGTAAACTTACTCTAAAGTTAGATGAAGAACGGTGACCAAGGAGGTGGGGAAATGTATTTTGTATTGTAAACTTACTCTAAAGTTAGATGAAGAACGATGACCATGGAGGCGGGGACATGTATTTTGTATTGTAAACTTACTCTAAAGTTAGATGAAGAACGGTGACCATGGAGGCGGGGACATGTATTTTGTATTGTAAACTTACTCTAAAGTTAGATGAAGAACGGTGACCATGGAGGTGGGGACATGTATTTTTGTATTGTAAACTTACTCTAAAGTTAGATGAAGAACGATGACCATGGAGGTGGGGACATGTATTTTGTATTGTAAACTTACTCTAAAGTTAGATGAAGAACGATGACCATGGAGGCGGGGACATGTATTTTGTATTGTAAACTTACTCTAAAGTTAGATGAAGAACGGTGACCATGGAGGTGGGGACATGTATTTTGTATTGTAAACTTACTCTAAAAGTTAGATGAAGAACGATGACCATGGAGGCGGGGACATGTATTTTGTATTGTAAACTTACTCTAAAGTTAGATGAAGAACGATGACCATGGAGGCGGGGACATGTATTTTGTATTGTAAACTTACTCTAAAGTTAGATGAAGAACGATGACCATGGAGGCGGGGACATGTATTTTGTATTGTAAACTTACTCTAAAGTTAGATGAAGAACGATGACCATGGAGGCGGGGACATGTATTTTGTATTGTAAACTTACTCTAAAGTTAGATGAAGAACGATGACCATGGAGGCGGGGACATGTATTTTGTATTGTAAACTTACTCTAAAGTTAGATGAAGAACGATGACCATGGAGGCGGGGACATGTATTTTGTATTGTAAACTTACTCTAAAGTTAGATGAAGAACGATGACCATGGAGGCGGGGACATGTATTTTGTATTGTAAACTTACTCTAAAGTTAGATGAAGAACGATGACCATTGAGGCGGGGACATGTATTTTGTATTGTAAACTTACTCTAAAGTTAGATGAAGAACGATGACCATGGAGGTGGGGACATGTATTTTGTATTGTAAACTTACTCTAAAGTTAGATGAAGAACGATGACCATGGAGGCGGGGACATGTATTTTGTATTGTAAACTTACTCTAAAGTTAGATGAAGAACGGTGACCATGGATGCGGGGAAATGTATTTTGTATTGTAAACTTACTCTCAAGTTAGATGAAGAACGATGACCATGGAGGCGGGGACATGTATTTTGTATTGTAAACTTACTCTAAAGTTAGATGAAGAACGATGACCATGGAGGTGGGGAAATGTATTTTGTATTGTAAACTTACTCTAAAGTTAGATGAAGAAGAACAGTGACCATGGAGGTGGGGAAATGTATTTTTGTATTGTAAACTTACTCTAAAGTTAGATGAAGAACGATGACCATGGAGGCGGGGACATGTATTTTGTATTGTAAACTTACTCTAAAGTTAGATGAAGAACGGTGACCATGGAGGTGGGGAAATGTATTTTGTATTGTAAACTTACTCTAAAGTTAGATGAAGAACGGTGACCAAGGAGGTGGGGAAATGTATTTTGTATTGTAAACTTACTCTCTAAAGTTAGATGAAGAACGATGACCATGGAGGCGGGGACATGTATTTTGTATTGTAAACTTACTCTAAAGTTAGATGAAGAACGGTGACCAAGGAGGCAGGGACATGTATTTTGTATTGTAAACTTACTCTAAAGTTAGATGAAGAACGATGACCATTGAGGCGGGGACATGTATTTTGTATTGTAAACTTACTCTAAAGTTAGATGAAGAACGGTGACCAAGGAGGCGGGAAATGTATTTTGTATTGTAAACTTACTCTCTCAAGTTAGATGAAGAACGGTGACCAAGGAGGCGGGAAATGTATTTTGTATTGTAAACTTACTCTAAAGTTAGATGAAGAACGATGACCATGGATGCGGGGACATGTATATTTTGTATTGTAAACTTACTCTAAAGTTAGATGAAGAACGGTGACCATGGATGCGGGGACATGTATTTTGTATTGTAAACTTACTCTAAAGTTAGATGAAGAACGATGACCATGGAGGTGGGGAAATGTATTTTGTATTGTAAACTTACTCTAAAGTTAGATGAAGAACGATGACCATGGAGGCGGGGAAATGTATTTTGTATTGTAAACTTACTCTAAAGTTAGATGAAAAACGATGACCATGGAGGCGGGGACATGTATTTTGTATTGTAAACTTACTCTCAAGTTAGATGAAGAACGGTGACCAAGGAGGCGGGAAATGTATTTTGTATTGTAAACTTACTCTCAAGTTAGATGAAGAACGGTGACCAAGGAGGCGGGAAATGTATTTTGTATTGTAAACTTACTGTAAAGTTAGATGAAGAACGATGACCATGGAGGCGGGGACATGTATTTTGTATTGTAAACTTACTCTAAAGTTAGATGAAGAATGGTGACCATGGATGCGGGGACATGTATTTTGTATTGTAAACTTACTCTAAAGTTAGATGAAGAACGATGACCATGGAGGTGGGGAAATGTATTTTGTATTGTAAACTTACTCTAAAGTTAGATGAAGAACGGTGACCATGGAGGCGGGGACATGTATTTTGTATTGTAAACTTACTCTAAAGTTAGATGAAGAACGGTGACCATGGAGGCGGGGACATGTATTTTGTATTGTAAACTTACTCTAAAGTTAGATGAAGAACGATGACCATGGAGGTGGGGAGATGTATTTTGTATTGTAAACTTACTCTAAAGTTAGATGAAGAACGGTGACCATGGAGGCGGGGACATGTATTTTGTATTGTAAACTTACTCTAAAGTTAGATGAAGAACGGTGACCATGGATGCGGGGACATGTATTTTGTATTGTAAACTTACTCTAAAGTTAGATGAAGAACGATGACCATGGAGGTGGGGAAATGTATTTTGTATTGTAAACTAACTCTAAAGTTAGATGAAGAACGGTGACCAAGGAGGCGGGAAATGTATTTTGTATTGTAAACTTACTCTAAAGTTAGATGAAGAACGGTGACCATGGATGCGGGGACATGTATTTTGTTTTGTAAACTTACTCTAAAGTTAGATGAAGAACGATGACCATGGAGGCGGGGACATGTATTTTGTATTGTAAACTTACTCTAAAGTTAGATGAAGAACGGTGACCATGGAGGCGGGGACATGTATTTTGTATTGTAAACTTACTCTAAAGTTAGATGAAGAACGATGACCAAGGAGGCGGGAAATGTATTTTGTATTGTAAACTTACTCTCAAGTTAGATGAAGAACGGTGACCAAGGAGGCGGGAAATGTATTTTGTATTGTAAACTTACTCTAAAGTTAGATGAAGAACGGTGACCATGGAGGGGACATGTATTTTGTATTGTAAACTTACTCTAAAGTTAGATGAAGAACGGTGACCATGGAGGCGGGGACATGTTACCTTCAAACTCACAATCAACTAGATATGTTACCTCGGACTCACGCTCAACAAGATATGTTACCTTCAAACTCACGATCAACTAGATATGATACCTCGGACTCACGATCAACTAGATATGTTACCTCGGACTCACGCTCAACAAGATATGTTACCTTCAAACTCACGATCAACTAGATATGTTACCTCGGACTCACGATCAACTAGATAGGTTACCTTCAAACTCACAATCAACTAGATATGTTACCTCGGACTCATGATCAACTAGATATGTTACCTCGGACTCACGATCAACTAGATATGTTACCTCGGACTCACGATCAACTAGATATGTTACCTCGGACTCACGATCAACTAGATATGTTACCTCGAACTCACAATCAACTAGATATATTACCTTCAAACTCACGATCAACTAGATATGTTACCTCGGACTCACGATCAACTAGATATGTTACCTCGAACTCACGATCAACTAGATATGTTACCTCGGACTCACGATCAACTAGATAGGTTACCTTCAAACTCACGATCAACTAGATATGTTACCTCGGACTCATGATCAACTAGATAGGTTACCTTCAAACTCACAATCAACTAGATATGTTACCTCGGACTCATGATCAACTAGATATGTTACCTCGGACTCATGATCAACTAGATATGTTACCTTCAAACTCACGATCAACTAGATATGTTACCTCGGACTCACGATCAACTAGATATGTTACCTTCGAACTCACAATCAACTAGATATGTTACCTTCAAACTCACAATCAACTAGATATGTTACCTCGGACTCACGATCAACTAGATATGTTACTTTTGGACTCACGATCAACTAGATATGTTACTTTTGGATTTACGATCAACTAGGTATGTTACCTTCGAACTCACAATCACCTAGATATGTTACCTTTGAACTCATGATCAACTAGATATGTTACCTTGGACTCATGATCAACTAGATATGTTACCCTTCAAACTCACGATCAACTAGATATGTTACCTCGGACTCACGATCAACTAGATATGTTACTTTTGGATTTACGATCAACTAGGTATGTTACCTTCGAACTCACAATCACCTAGATATGTTACCTTTGAACTCATGATCAACTAGATATGTTACCTTTGAACTCATGATCAACTAGATATGTTACCCAGAGTCATGATCAACTAGATATGTTACCTTTGAACTCATGATCAACTAGATATGTTACCTTTGAACTCATGATCAACTAGATATGTTACCCAGAGTCATGATCAACTAGATATGTTACCTTCGGAGAGACCCTGGAAGTCAGAGACTGTCAGCGTGGCAGACACTGTCTTTCGGACATGTGGCACGGCCCGCTTGCTGTCAAGGCTTCGACGTTTTCTAGTTGTTTTTGTCAAGCATTTGCTATTTGTCATTGAAGTCAGCTCCTGAAATACGGTGAATAACATTTTGAGGTAAAGACATCAATAAACTGAAGACATCTCTAACAGTGGCTAGATAGATCGCTGGAACAAAGCAGGTACGAGATTGAGACAGGCATGTAGGTTGATAATCATATGTCTTTATTAGTACAGTCGGAACCCTTGATCTCGAGATCCATACACATCGAACAAATACTCCGGTCCTGATCGCCTCTGAATCCTACCGCTCAGGTCGAATTAGTGATAGATTTACATTTTACATGATTTTGTACCTATATCTTGAAGTTACCACATTAACAGGTGTGATGAGTACACATGTGAGTTTCACAAAAGTGTGAGTAACTCTACTATCCTGACGATATCATCTAACATCGTCAAACATCGCGTACACCCTGATTTGTAACAGTTGTTCAGCCTTTATCAACTTTCGCATGATACGGATTGTATGTATTTGTCTGAGCAACAATGTGTGATGCCTCGGTATCTCGAAATTGACGAATGATGGGAATGCATGACTGTACCAGATGTATGTGTCTCTCTGTTCTGCTTCATGCTTAAAATGAGTGGTATCCGTTCAGGGGTTTAGCATAATCTGATAGACATATCAATGTAATTTATTTACTTGTTTATGAAACTTGTAAAATACCAACCTTTAATACTCTGTTTCTCAGGTGACACTTCTTTTGCATGTTTACCTGTCGTCCACCCATGATGATACTATAGACCTATGATGATACTATAGACCTATGATGATGCTATAGACCTATGATTATACTATAGACCTATGATGATACTATAGACCTATGATGATACTATAGACCTATGATGATACTATAGACCCATGATGATACTATAGACCTATGATGATACTTTAGACCTATGATGATGCTATAGACCCATGACAATACTATAGACCTATGATGATACTATAGACCCATGATGACACTATAGACCTTTGATGATACTATAGACCCATGATGATACTATAGACCTATGATGATACTATAGACCTATGATGATACTATAGACCTAGACCTATGATGATGCTATAGACCTATGATGATACTACAGACCCATGATGATGCTATAGACCTATGATGATACTATAGACCCATAATGATACTATAGACCTATGATGATACTATAGGCCCATGATGATACTATAGACCCATTATGCTGCTATAAACCTATGATGATACTATAGACCCATGATGATACTATAGACCTATGATGATACTATAGACCCATGATGATACTATAGACCTATGATGATACTATAGACCCATGATGATACTATAGACCTATGATGATACTATAGACCCATGATGATACTATAGACCCATGATAATACTATAGACCTATGGTGATGCTATAGACCTATGATGATACTATAGACCTATGATGATACTATAGACCCATGACGATACTATAGACCAATGATGATACTATAGACCTATGGTGATGCTATTGACCTATGATGATACTATAGACCTATGATGATACTATAGACCCATGATGATACTATAGATGGATTGTATGGGAACATATTGAGGCTCTATGCCAAACTCCAACACATACCCTCAGTGTTTTCGTAAAGTTTTAATATCAGAAAGAGAGCATCACGCATTGAAATGAGAATAAAACAACGAACGGGCCTCGCCAGATGCCTTAGAATTCATACATGTTTTGAATGTAGGTTCTGTACAAGCCTCTTTTTCATCTATTCACTGTATGGATTTAGGGCATTCAGTACTTTGTGAGACCCCATTGTCCTGCAATACACGACTGAACGTGCCTATGTACACTGCCGATCAAAGTTTGTAGGATATCGTGTGACAGCGTATCCCAATATTCGACCCCATCTTTCTTCATATCCTCAATATTTCTAAGTCTTTTTTGGTTTATTCTGTCCTTCATTAGTCCTCACACATTCTCAATAGGGTTAGGATCTGGGTTGAAGCTGGGCCTTTTTAAAATTTCGTCCGACAACCACTGTTTTGAGTAGCCCGCAGTGTGTTTTGGGTCGTTATCATGTTGGAAAATCCAATTATCTTCATACAGTGTTCGGGCCGTTCGAAGGAGGTGGCAAATTTCAATGTCAACATATCGTTCCTTCGTCAAACTTCCAGTGAATATTCACAAAGGCGTCGCTACATGTAATGGCAGTTTTTAACGCATCTCATATGTGAAATTTCGGGCTATGATTTGGGCGTTGGTAGATATGTTCCACGGTATTTCTTTGTCAAAATTTTCACACAGTTCGGAAAAAGCCAAACAGAACTTTCATCAGAAATGAAAACATTATCCCAATCTTGATTTCGTGAGCCCTACATCAGTTAAAAATTTAAACGTCTTTCTTTTCGTGCATCTTTCATCAATGGTGAGGGAATTCCCGCCTTTTCACCCAGTTAAGTCTTTGTAATTCTTGTCTAAGGGTTTCATTACATACCTGAGGACTTCCTCTATTAAACACCTCATTTCTGATATTCTCAACGCTTTTCAATTTTTCCCTACTCACAATCTGACCAAGTCGCCGTTGATCCGTAGTATTAACACGGTAAAACTAGACAAAGTTTTACCAATATTTATGACAGTATATATTATTGAAAACTGGACATGTACAGATTAACTGACCACGTTTCACAATCTTCAAGCTGCTAAGGGTCACATTGATAACGAACGTCCGAAACCAGTATCTGGTCTGTGTCTGCAGATAGCAATAAGGTAATCAAATTCACTGTGAACTTCACCCATCAACACCGATGTCTTCAATACGTTTATGAAAATTGTCATATAATCCCGTCAAGTTAGAGTAGCTTAAGTGCGCAGTTGGCACCTATCGTCAGTCGAGTTAGGCAATAGGATTTAGATATAGCAACTGAAGTTCACAACAACAACTTTATCGTCAGTGTATCAGTAAATGGGATTATCTATGATAACTGGAATAGGTATAAAACAGGGACGACACACAGTCACAAATCGTTCAGTGACTGCTGTGTAATAAACTCTTTGTTTATATACTCAGGTAAGAAACTTTACTTTCTTCTACTTTGACATATATACCACTTCTATTCTATGTTAACTTTAATCTATTGTAAATACCTTAACTATAAGTTACCACCCTTGGCAGTACCTTCAGGTTTATGTGGAACGAGGCATCCCTTAGTGTCTTATATCTTCTGTATTACAGTGTAGGATTGTTTATTTAATACTGATTGACACTACAGTGACTATTATAGAATGTTTATAACATAGTGTGTCGGATATTTTAACTATTGTATTACCTTGTGAACACTATACTGTTTGGGACCGCTACAGAATGTAGATTGCATGAACGCCCACTGGGGTGATGTGTAGAGTACTGAACTATTGTTGTGTACATTGGAATATGTATCGCGATTAATGTAGTATGTGTCGTGTATGACGAATCTACATGTGATGTTTATGTACTTTGATATCTGATTGCATTGTGAACATGTTTTAATAATTAATTGTTAACTATGCTATTATTGACTGATTATGTAAAATCGTTCAGTGACTGCTGTGTAATAAACTCTTGCCCCGCGATTCCCCAAAGCTCGCGCTTTAATAGTAGTACTGAACTTCCCTGCCCTCCCTCCCCTGCCCCCTGCCTCCCTCCCTCCCTCCCTCCCTCCCTGCCCTCCCTCCCTGCCCCTGCCCTCCCTGCCCTCCTGCCCTCCTGCCCTCCCTCCCCTCCTGCCCTCCTGCCCCCCTGCCCTCCCTGCCCCTGCCTTGTGCTCAATCCCAACTCATGACTGAATATTCTTCAAAGTACTGTATACTGTAGACAGAGGAATGTCATGTCTACCAACTAACTCGTTTGCATCAGTCATGCCCCTTTCAAAATAATCTAGGACCAGCTTTAATTATTTTCTCTTCTGCTGTCAAATCTGCCATGTCAACAAAGGACTTTCAGCCGGTGAGATAACTCTTGATGTAGTAAGGTTCATTCTTAAGCCTACAAGAGTTGCCTCCCATATTGAGTACCTTACTACATAATGTAACGCCTATTTTACAATTATATTATCAGTATTAGGAAACAAAGACATTCTCAATAATTTCTGGGAAAAATGTAATTTCGGTCAGGTTGCAAGACGGCCCGCGAATGTGGCTTACACAACGCTCTCTATGAAAACATCGGTATTGCGACGAAGGTTTGGCGGTACTTTTCATTCATGTAATGCATTTATAATTACAGCTCTGCATATCACATACCGTTGAGCATTGACCGTTTCCACTTTTCGGACACACCAGTACAGTGCATCTGTACGTGATGGTGTCACGGGTCTTGAACTTGAAAGCATATATATCCGCGTATGTGATATCCTCATCCGTCCCTTTCACTTGTACTACGTTGTTATCAACTGTGAAATTACCGAACAGTGTAGGCTCGAGACTCCCACACTTGGTACCACCGCTGGAAAGACAAGATTAGTGATGGTACAGACAGTAAGACAAGATTAGTGATGGTACAGACAGTAAGACAAGATTAGTTATAGTACAGACAGTACGACAAGAGTAGTTATAGTACAGACAGTAAGACAAGATTAGTGATGGTACAGACAGTAAGACAAGATTAGTGATGGTACAGACAGTAAGACAAGATTAGTGATGGTACAGACAGTAAGACAAGATTAGTGATGGTACAGACAGGAAGACAAGATTAGTGATGGTACAGACAGCAAGACAAGATTGGTTATGGTACAGACAGCAAGACAAGATTGGTTATGGTACAGACAGCAAGACAAGATTAGTGATGGTACAGACAGTAAAGACAAGATTGGTGATGGTACAGACAGTAAGACAAGATTAGTGATGGTACAGACAGTAAGACAAGATGAGTGATGGGTACAGACAGTAAGACAAGATTAGTGATAGGTACAGACAGTAAGACAAGATTAGTGATGGTACAGACAGTAAGACAAGATTAGTGATGGTACAGACAGTAAGACAAGAAGATTAGTGATGGTACAGACAGTAAGACAAGATTAGTGATGGTACAGACAGTAAGACAAGATTAGTGATGGTACAGACAGTAAGACAAGATTAGTGATGGTACAGACAGTAAGACAAGATTTAGTGATGGTACAGACAGTAAGACAAGATTAGTGATGGTACACAGCAAGACAAGATTAGTGATGGTAGAGTAAGACAAGATTGTGATGGTACAGACAGTAAGACAAGATTAGTGATGGTACAGACAGTAAGACAAGATTAGTGATGGTACAGACAGTAAGATAAGATTCGTGATGGTGGTACAGACAGACAGTAAGACAAGATTAGTGATGGTACAGACAGTAAGACAAGATTAGTGATAGCAATAAGACAGACAGTAAGACAAGATTAGTGATGGTACAGACAGTAAGACAAGTGATGGTACAGACAGTGATGGTACAGACAGTAAGACAAGATTAGTGATGGTACAGACAGTAAGACAAGATTAGTGATGGTAAGACATTAAGACAAGATTAGTGATGGTACAGACAGTAAGACAAGATTAGTGATGGTACAGACAGTAAGACAAGATTAGTGATGGTACAGACAGTAAGACAAGATTAGTGATAGGTACAGACAGTAAGACAAGATTAGTGATGGTACAGACAGTGCAAGACAAGATTAGTGATGGTACAGAAGTAAGACAAGATTCGTGATGGTACAGACAGTAAGACAAGATTAGTGATGGTACAGACAGTAAGACAAGATTAGTGATGGTACAGACAGTAAGACAAGATTAGTGATGGTACAGACAGTAAGACAAGATTAGTGATGGTACAGACAGTAAGACAAGATTAGTGATGGTACAGACAGTAAAGACAAGATTAGTGATGGTACAGACAGTAAGACAAGATTAGTGATGGTACAGACAGTAAAGACAAGATTAGTGATGGTACAGACAGTAGACAAGATTAGTGATGGTACAGACAGTAAAGACAAGATTAGTGATGGTGGTAAGACAAGATTAGTGATGGTACAACACAGTAAGACAAGATTAGTGATGGTACAGACAGTAAGACAAGATTAGTGATGGTACAGACAGTAGAAGACAAGATTAGTGATGGTACAGACAGTAAAGACAAGATTAGTGATGGTACAGACAGTAAGACAAGATTAGTGATGGTACAGACAGTAAGACAAGATTAGTGATGGTACAGACAGTAAGACAAGATTAGTGATGGTACAGACAGTAAGACAAGATTAGTGATGGTACAGACAGTAAGACAAGATTAGTGATGGTACAGACAGTAAGACAAGATTAGTGATGGTACAGACAGTAAGACAAGATTAGTGATGGTACAGACAGTAAGACAAGATTAGTGATGGTACAGACAGTAAGACAAGATTAGTGATGGTACAGACAGCAAGACAAGATTAGTGATGGGTACAGACAGTAAGACAAGATTAGTGATGGTACAGACAGTAAAGACAAGATTAGTGATGGTACAGACAGTAAGACAAGATTAGTGATGGTACAGACAGTAAGACAAGATTAGTGATGGTACAGACAGTAAAGACAAGATTAGTGATGGTACAGACAGTAAGACAAGATTAGTGATGGTACAGACAGTAAGACAAGATTAGTGATGGTACAGACAGTAAGACAAGATTAGTGATAGTACAGACAGTAAGACAAGATTAGTGATGGTACAGACAGTAAGACAAGATTAGTGATGGTACAGACAGTAAGACAAGATTAGTGATGGTACAGACAGTAAGACAAGATTAGTGATGGTACAGACAGTAAGACAAGATTAGTGATGGTACAGACAGTAAGACAAGATTAGTGATGGTACAGACAGTAAGACAAGATTAGTGATGGTACAGACAGTAAGACAAGATTAGTGATGGTACAGACAGTAAGACAAGATTAGTGATGGTACAGACAGTAAGACAAGATTAGTGATGGTACAGACAGTAAGACAAGATTAGTGGTACAGAAGACAGGTAAGACAAGATTAGTGATGGTACAGACAGTAAGACAAGATTAGTGATGGTACAGACAGTAAGACAAGATTAGTGATGGTACAGACAGTAAGACAAGATTAGTGATGGTACAGACAGACAAGATTAGTGATGGTAAGACAAGATTAGTGATGGTACAGACAGTAAGACAAGATTAGTGATGGTACAGACAGTAAGACAAGATTAGTGATGGTACAGACAGTAAGACAAGATTAGTGATGGTACAGACAGTAAGACAAGATTAGTGATGGTACAGACAGTAAGACAAGATTAGTGATGGTACAGACAGTAAGACAAGATTAGTGATGGTACAGACAGTAAGACAAGATTAGTGATGGGACAGTACAAGATTAGTGATGGTACAGACAGTAAGACAAGATTAGTGATGAGTACAGACAGTAAGGACAAGATTAGTGATGGTACAGACAGTAAGACAAGATTAGTGATGGTACAGACAGTAAGACAAGATTAGTGATGGTACAGACAGTAAGACAAGATTAGTGATGGTACAGACAGTAAGACAAGATTAGTGATGGTACAGACAGTAAGACAAGATTAGTGATGGTACACACAGTAAGACAAGATTAGTGATGGTACAGACAGTAAGACAAGATTAGTGATGGTACAGACAGTAAGACAAGATTAGTGATGGTACAGACAGTAAGACAAGATTAGTGATGGTACAGACAGTAAGACAAAATTAGTGATAGTACAGACAGTAAGACAAGATTAGTGATGGTACAGACAGTAAGACAAGATTAGTGATGGTACAGACAGTAAGACAAAATTAGTGATAGTACAGACAGTAAGACAAGATTAGTGATGGTACAGACAGTAAGACAAGATTAGTGATGGTACAGACAGTAAGACAAGATTAGTGATGGTACACACAGTACGTCTTGATTAACGTTGTGGTTATAAAGAGTTTAGACTCCTCCAGGACCATTGTTGTAAACGTGTGAGTACAAGCACATTCCTCGACAAAGCGGAATAAATTAGTAGAAACAAATAGTAATAACTGCCAGGGTGTATAAAAACTATAATAGTGAATCCCAGGAAATATGTTTCATCATACGTTGAGGGTGATCAAGCAATTATGTTATGGACTGCCATCCATACTGTGTCGTATGAAGTGAATTAATTGGTTAGACTAGGTGAATGTCTGGGTTGTGTCATGGTGACCCGACTGTATGAAGTGACCAATGAACTGATTGGTTAGACTGGGTGAATGACTGGGTTGTGTCATGGTGACCAGACTGTATGAAGTGACCAATGAATTGATTGGACCACATCTTGTGACAGACATCAACATCTTCACCGCAGAGCGGAGCCACATTGACATCAACATCTTCACCGCAGAGTGACCACGACTGAGCGGGACCACATCTTGTGACAGACATCAACATCTTCACCGCAAGTGACCGACAGACATCAACATCTTCACCGCAGAGCGGACCACATCTTGTGACAGACATCAACATCTTCAACACAGAGCGGACCACATCTTGTGACAGACATCAACATCTTCAACACAGAGCGGACCACATCTTGTGCCAGACATCAACATCTTCAACACAGAGCGGACCACATCTTGTGACAGACATCAACATCTTCACCGCAGAGCGGGACCTTTACTCCATGCTCCATCGACGTGAAGCAGTCTTTGAACTACACCGATAGCGGACACTACCGATACTGACTGGCGTCTACATCTCACCTGGCTTCAGGTGGGTTCTGTGTAGTCCCCTACAGCTGTATTGTACACAGGTGCTGCTGCTTCCTGGTCAGTGTGATTGGATGGATGAGTCGTCGCTGATAATTGGTAACACTTACCTTTGTTTGAGGTTCCACAAATCTACGTTATCGCCCCCATCTGTAGCGGAACAGCTCTCTGGTATCAAAAAGTTGTCTCCCCCTGATGAAATAATAAACACATGGTCAAACATAGCTAGTTGTGTCTGGTTCGATGTGATACTCGACTTCGCCACTCTGAGTTGTTCTTATTGTGTGTTTTTCTAAAAAGCATTACGCAACATTCTGTAGCGATATTCTAAGGATAATCAACATGGTTTGAAAAAGGCAATTGTCGTATTTTGTTTACTTGGTGGATTTCAACAGATAACACAACTTTATAACAGTTAACGTTAACCAATCGATTGGTTGATCGCGATTGGTTAACGTGTTCGTAACAGTAAAGGCGAAGGTGTTAATGTACAATGATAAAAACACAATACGATGCCAACTACATAGGATTAATGTACAAAGATAAAAACACAATACGAAGCCAACTACATAAGATTAATGTACAAAGATAAAAACATAATACGAAGCCAACTACATAGGATTAATGTACAATGATAAAAACATAATACGAAGCCAACTACATAGGATTAATGTACAATGATAAAAACACAATACGAAGCCAACTACATATGATTAATGTACAATGATAAAAACACAATACGAAGCCAACTACATAGGATTAATGTACAATGATAAAAACACAATACGAAGCCAACTACATAGGATTAATGTACAAAGATAAAAACACAATACGAAGCCAACTACATAGGATTAATGTACAAAGATAATAATGTACAGATGAAGCCACTGACATATACGGTACTACACTGTAAGACGAAGCCGATGATTATAGAACCCTAGAGTATACACTGGGAAATGCCTTGGTCTCGCTTAATGGCTGGCTTCTTTCTCTGGACCTCGATGCTGTCTTGAAGTTTCCGCGTCTTCCAGTGGTTGATCTTGGTGTGTAGAATCTTTATTTGTTGCCAGGAAATATGGTGGCCGGGATTTTTAATGAGGTTTGCGGAAAGGGCAGATTTCATGATTTTCTACAACGGTCTTATGTTGTTTTACCCTGGTGGATATGGGGCGTGATGTCTCTCCTATTTAATCAATATATTTCTTTTTGAAAGGTTCAGGGTAGTACATGTTTATGGACACAATCATATGAATAATTTGATATGGTTTATGGTTTATTTTCAGAAAGACGGGTGCGACGCCGTAACCCTCAGCCCCAGCAACTCGCACAGGCACTACAGGCAGACTGGGCTGCGATTGGGCAACACGAGATTCTGAGACTTATTCGTTATTGACTTCAGCGCCACCACACGTCTCCATGTGACACTCAAGCTGACTTTCCTCGAGTTGGTGCCAAAGACGGATAAGTCTGCATTCCCAGTGTGCAATTTCGCTATATTTCATTGTCTCATAAAGCCTACAAGATGTTTCAAAATAAACATAAAAATACAGTTGAAATTCCTATATGCGTTTCTTTTGTGTGAGAGTATATTTTCGCCTTTCACTCAACGAAGTGAAGGAAGTTTCGCGGACAGCAACACATATTGTTCTAAGGACATCTAGATGTAGTTTTTCTAAAGTAAGGGCTTGCTGATCTGTACAGTTTAGTATATATACTGGACAAAATATGTTAGGGATATTGGTGTGTTTATGATTGATATTTTATCAGTGTGTCAGTGAATAAATAGATCATTATTCATAATTTCAAAATTTACATATATCCCTAACTATTTTTGTCCAGTATATATATTAGAACATATAGTTTCATTTGTACATTGAGCGAACATCGAAAGAAAACCATTAACCAATTTCTTTCACGTGAAGAATTTGTTTCATGGCGACCAAGAATTGAAAACTAATCTACCAGAAGACCAAAACCTCGTGTATTGACGTCTTGAGTATGCTGCACATTTATTTCTCTGATATATGATATTTAGATGGCGCTTCAATCCGTTTATGGTAGGTCTGTGTGCATAGATGAATGGTTTTGTGGAGATTAAAATGAGGTTTAACTCGTCATTTCTTCTTTCTTTATATCCAAAAGGATGTGTTTTACATTCAATTCTAATTTTGTGCCGGTTACAGTGTTTTTCCAATTTGTTAATGTTGTCCACAACGTTTTTATGTGTTGGCACTTATATAACATATGATGGATGGTCTCAGATTACTTATCACAAAAGGAGCACAATGAATGTGATGCTACAGTTCGACAACACTCTGTGTGTTGCCGGAATACTCTGGATCCGATAGTTTTAAATTGTAGCCATCGAACTTGCTATTGAGTGTTGCTCTAAAGGGTATGTGGTCACAGACTATAAACTATACTTCTGGGATAATTTCGTTAATGTCTCGTTCCAATTGTATTTGATTGCGTAGTTTTCCTTGAGAAGTATGTGCGTGAGTGAGTGAGTTTAACGAACACTTCAACCATTACGCTACCCCACCTCCCCTGAGAAGTATGTGAGTGAGTGAGTGAGCTACCCCACCTCCCCTGAGAAGTATGTGAGTGAGTGAGTGAGCTACCCCACCGCCCCTGAGAAGTAGAAGTATGTGAGTGAGCTACCCCACCGCCCCTGAGAAGTATGTGAGTGAGTGAGCTACCCCACCGCCCCTGTGAAGTATGTGAGTGAGTGAGCTATCCCCCCCCGCCCCTGAGAAGTATGTGAGTGAGTGAGTGAGCTACCCCACCGCCCCTGAGAAGTATGTGTGAGTGAGTGAGCTACCCCACCGCCCCTGAGAAGTATGTGAGTGAGTGAGTGAGCTACCCCACCGCCCTGAGAAGTATGTGAGTGAGTGAGTGAGCTACCCCACCGCCCCTGAGAAGTATGTGAGTGGAGTGAGCTACCCCACCGCCCTGAGAAGTATGTGAGGAGTGAGCCACCCCACCGCCCCTGAGAAGTATGTGAGAAGTGTGTGAGTGAGTGGAGTGAGCTACCCCACCGCCCTGAGAGTATGTGAGTGAGTGAGTGAGCTACCCCACCGCCCCTGAGAAGTATGTGGTGGTGGGAGTGAGCTACCCCACCGCCCCTGAGAAGTATGTGGAGTGAGTGAGCTACCCCACCGCCCCTGAGAGAAGTAGTGAGTGAGGTGGCTGGGCTACCCCACCGCCCTTGAGAAGTATGTGTGGTGAGTGAGTGAGCTACCCCACCGCCCCTGAGAAGTATGTGAGTGTGGTGGAGTGAGCTACCCCACCGCCCCTGAGAAGTATGTGGTGAGTGAGCTACCCCACCGCCCTGAGAAGTATGTGAGTGAGTGAGCTACCCCACCGCCCTTGAGAAGTATGTGAGTGAGTGAGCTACCCCACCGCCCTTGAGAAGTATGTACTTTAGACAGCGCAGTATTGAATATTTTGCATCCCTTTGTCCCCTTGTACAAGCATATTATATAAAGTATGTCTAAATAAGTTGTATTCAGTTGAAAAAATTTGTCAAACTGTAAAAAAGTACCGTCACTCTTGAGTAAATCATTGATGAATTTAACGTTTGCTGTTAAATAGCGTTTATATATAATAGGTTTCTTTGCAATAGTTATATTGTCATTTGCCCATATAAATTGTTTTGGTGTATCTGTCATATCGTGTTCTTGTAGTGATTGTAATTTTGCCCATGCTTCATAGACATCACGCCAAAAAGGATCAGGTATTTCGGGAACAATAGAATTACGCAGTTAGTTATTTCCCATCTCGGTTGGAAACAAAGTTTCTGTTGGAATGTTAATATGTACCAGTGCTTTTATTTCGTATCGCTTGTGTATGTTCTTCTTAACCAAGAGATCTTTTGAGACTGTATTGCCTCCAAAATGAGAGGTACGTTAAGTGACACTGGTGACATAATCTGATGTTCAGGCGGCCCTGCCGTGACACTGGTGACAGAATCTGATGTTCTGCCGTGACCCTGGTGACAAAATCTGATTTTCAGGCAGCCCTGCCGTGACACTGGTGACAGAATCTGATGTTCAGGCAGCCTTGCCGTGACACTGGTGACATAATCTGATGTTCAGGCAGCCCTGCCGTGACACTGGTGACAGAATCTGATGTTCTGCCGTGACACTGGTGACAGAATCTGATGTTCAGGCAGCCCTGCCGTTACCCTGGTGGCAGAATCTGATGTTCAGGCAGCCCTGCCGTGACACTGGTGACAGAATCTGATGTTCAGGCAGCCCTGCCGTGACACTGGTGACAGAATCTGATGTTCTGCCGTGACACTGGTGACAGAATCTGATGTTCAGGCAGCCCTGCCGTTACCCTGGTGGCAGAATCTGATGTTCAGGCAGCCCTGCCGTGACACTGGTGACAGAATGTGATGTTCAGGCAGCCCTGCCGTGACACTGGAGACATAATCTGATGTTCAGGCAGCGCTGCCGTGACACTGGTGACAGAATCTGATGTTCAAGCTGCCCTGCCGTGACACTGGTGACAGAATCTGATGTTCAAGCAGCCCTGCCGTGACACTGGTGACAGAATCTGATGTTCAGGCAGCCCTGCCGTGACACTGGTGACATAATCTGATGTTCAGGCAGCCCTGCCGTGACCCTGGTGACAGAATCTGATGTTCAGGCAGCCCTGCCGTGACACTGGTGACAGAATCTGATGTTCAGGCAGCCTTGCCGTGACACTGGTGACATAATCTGATGTTCAGGCAGCCCTGCCGTGACACTGGTGACAGAATCTGATGTTCAGGCAGCCCTGACGTGACACTGGTGACAGGATCTGATGTTCAGGCAGCCCTGCCGTGTCACTGGTGAGAGATTCTGATTTTCAGGCAGCCCTGCCGTGACCCTGGTGACATAATCTGATGTTCAGGCAGCCCTGCCGTGACACTGGTGACAGAATCTGATGTTCAGGCAGCCTTGCAGTGACACTGGTGACAGAATCTGATGTTCAGGCAGCCTTGCCGTGACACTGGTGACAGAGTCTGATGTTCAGGCAGCCCTGCCGGTACACTGGTGACAGAATCTGATGTTCAGGCAGCCCTGCCGTGACACTGGTGACATAATCTGATGTTCAGGCAGCCCTGCCGTGACACTGGTGACATAATCTGATGTTCAGGCAGCGCTGCCGTGACACTGGTGACATAATCTGATGTTCAGGCAGCGCTGCCGTGACACTGGTGACAGAATCTGATGTTCAGGCAGCCTTGCCGTGACACTGGTGACATAATCTGATGTTCAGGCGGCCCTGCCGTGACACTGGTGACAGAATCTGATGTTCAAGCAGCCCTACCGTGACCCTGGTGACAGAAACTGATGTTCAAGCAGCCCTGCCGTGACACTGGTGACATAATCTGATGTTCAGGCAGCCCTGCCGTGACACTGGTGACATAATCTGATGTTCAGGCAGCGCTGCCGTGACACTGGTGACATAATCTGATGTTCAGGCAGCGCTGCCGTGACACTGGTGACAGAATCTGATGTTCAGGCAGCCTTGCCGTGACACTGGTGACATAATCTGATGTTCAGGCGGCCCTGCCGTGACACTGGTGACAGAATCTGATGTTCAAGCAGCCCTACCGTGACACTGGTGACAGAATCTGATGTTCAGGCAGCCCTGCCGTGACACTGGTGACAGAATCTGATGTTCAGGCAGCCCTGCCGTGACACTGGTGACAGAATCTGATGTTCAAGCAGCCCTGCCGTGACCCTGGTGACATAATCTGATGTTCAGGCAGCCCTGCCGTGACCCTGGTGACATAATCTGATGTTCAGGCAGCGCTGCCGTGACACTGGTGACAGAATCTGATGTTCAGGCAGCCCTGCCGTGATAATGGTGACAGAATCTGTTGTTCAGGCAGCCCTGCCGTGACAATGGTGACATAATCTGATGTTCAGGCAGCCCTTCCGTGACACTGGTGACAGAATCTGATGTTCAGGCAGCCTGCCGTGCCGTGACACTGGTGACATAATCTGATGTTCAGGCGGCCCTGCCGTGACACTGGTGACAGAATCTGATGTTCAGGCAGCCCTGCCGTGACACTGGTGACAGAATCTGATGTTCAGGCAGCCCTGCCGTGACACTGGTGACAGAATCTGATGTTCAGGCAGCCCTGCCGTGACACTGGTGACAGAATCTGATGTTCAGGCAGCCCTGCCTTGACACTGGTGACAGAATCTGATGTTCAGGCAGCCCTGCCGTGACCCTGGTGACAGAATCTGATGTTCAGGCAGCCCTGCCGTGACACTGGTGACAGAATCTGATGTTCAGGCAGCCCTGCCGTGACACTGGTGACAGAATCTGATGTTCAGGCAGCAGCCCTGCCGTGACACTGGTGACAGAATCTGATGTTCAGGCAGCCCTGCCGTGACACTGGTGACAGAATCTGATGTTCAGGCAGCCCTGCCGTGACACTGGTGACAGAATCTGATGTTCAGGCAGCCCTGCCGTGACACTGGTGACAGAATCTGATGTTCAGGCAGCCCTGCCGTGACACTGGTGACAGAATCTGATGTTCAGGCAGCGCTGCCGTGACACTGGTGACAGAATCTGATGTTCAGGCAGCCCTGCCGTGACACTGGTGACAGAATCTGATGTTCAGGCAGCCCTGCCGTGACACTGGTGACAGAATCTGATGTTCAGGCAGCCCTGCCGTGACACTGGTGACAGAATCTGATGTTCTGCCGTGACACTGGTGACAGAATCTGATGTTCAGGCAGCCCTGCCGTGACACTGGTGACAGAATCTGATGTTCAGGCAGCCCTGCCGTGACACTGGTGACAGAATCTGATGTTCAGGCAGCCCTGCCGTGACCCTGGTGACAGAATCTGATGTTCAGGCAGCCCTGCCGTGACACTGGTGACAGAATCTGATGTTCAGGCAGCCCTGCCGTGACACTGGTGACAGAATCTGATGTTCAGGCAGCGCTGCCGTGACACTGGTGACAGAATCTGATGTTCAGGCAGCCCTGCCGTGACACTGGTGACAGAATCTGATGTTCAGGCAGCCCTGCCGTGACACTGGTGACATAATCTGATGTTCAGGCAGCCCTGCCGTGACACTGGTGACAGAATCTGATGTTCAGGCAGCCCTGCCGTGACACTGGTGACAGAATCTGATGTTCAGGCAGCCCTGCCGTGACCCTGGTGACAGAATCTGATGTTCAGGCAGCCCTGCCGTGACCCTGGTGACAGAATCTGATGTTCAGGCGGCCCTGCCGTGACAATGATGACAGCAAGTATGTAACGCAGCAGCCAGTACGGATCTTCTCCTTTGTTGTATCACATAGGTAACAGACGTATCCAAAGTAAGATGAAAGTGTAGTCGAAGTTTTGGACCAAAGAAATCGTCTTACAGCCACGAGAATTATTCTGCCAGATTCAATTTACAGATTGTAGTGATAATATCCCAGTCTGAGAAAGGTAAAAGACTTCAGTCATTTTACAGACTGTGGTGATGAAATCCCGGTGTTATTTGGGCATAAACAACAGCCGATGACATGATACCTTCTGTACAAGTTCTCGTATCACAAAGGTGAATAAAGATCTCACTTGTCATTAGTATTGCCATTGTAATATCACTTACCTGATGCCTTTGCTTCGGCTCGATATGACGAGATACAAGTGTTCCCCCAGCGTGGCCTGGGATGCAACAGTCGGGTTTGTGCTTGGGTCGGTTGTTGACAGTGTCATTGTAACTGCAGTGAAAGGGTGACTCTCCACCGTTGGACTGAAAATGATAAGTGTGATGAAAAGACTATCCTTATCGCATAAGCAAAGTATTAGAAAAGAACCAAACTGTCACGGAAACAGGTATTGCAGACTGTTGTACCATACATTTATGTCAAAGCCGTGCAGTCTATTGTACCATGAACCCCAGTCATACACAGTGTTGTAGCATGTATCCGAGTCATACATAACGGAGCATATATCTCACAGTCATACAGACTATTGTAGCATGTAGCCCCAGTCATACACAGTGTTGTAGCATGTATCCGAGTCATACATAACGGAGCATATATCTCACAGCCATACAGACTATTGTAGCATGTAGCCCCAGTCATACACAGTGTTGTAGCATGTATCCGAGTCATACATAACGGAGCATATATCTCACAGCCATACAGACTATTGTAGCATGTAGCCCAGTCATACATATTGTAGCAACCATCCAAATATTTGAAGCATGTATCTCAGTCAAATAGAGTATTGTAGCACGTAACCAAGTCATACTGTATACTAATGTAGCATTACCCCTGTCGTACAGACTATATAGTAGAATGCATCCCAGTCATAAAGACTGCATATATCTCAGTTATAGGGTTAGGGTAGCACCTATCTCAGTCAGTAGGTTTACTGCAGCATGTGTGCCAGTCATACAGACTGTTGTACTGCAATAATGCCATATCTGTTCTCGAGTCTGTCGTGCAGGCGGGTAGCATGCATGTTTGCAAGACATCCAATGGTTGTTGTTTCGGGAACGAGATCCCTGTCATGAAATTACATGATAACAACGAAGAAGGAATCTTTAATTTAGAATGACAGTTAAGACAAAGAATACAAATATTTACTTTTCATAACATACAAACATACTCGAAACTTTATAACCTTCACCATGTCATTGCACAAATTATTGAGTCATTTCAAAAGAATACACACCATAAAGACCGAATGTTCTATATCACAGACAGATTGAATACTCAGAGACCAAGGTCATTGTAACGTGGAATGTTGTCATTGGTTATCTTGTGAATGAATTTCTGGATGCTGTACAAAAGTATCCTAATCAGAACAATGCTGATGCGTTATCATGACCCGTACGATCCCCATTAAACACGCCTAGGATGAAACCGAATCCTCCAACAACGTTTAAGAACTCCGCCAAATTTTTCCTCGGACATGAAATAATCTCCCCAAGACTCAATGAAGCAATGGTGCCCGACCTGCATCAATGCACAAGGTGGACACACTCTGCCCATACAAACCTGCTTGTAAAATCCCTTTGATGTGTTGTGACTCACTTTATATGCCAGATGCACAATTCTTATGGAGTGTTAGTCGTTACTACACATTGAAACTGTGTTCTTTGGAAGTAATAGTTTCATTCGCGGCAGTAACGGTTTAACACTGGTTCTGTTTACTGTTTCTGTGTCACAATTTCCACTCAACTAACCACTGGCGGCCTTGCTGGACCCGTGAAGATCCGGGTTAGAATTGGTCTTCAGCAACCTATGAATGTCGTAAGAGGGGACAAACGGGATCGGGTGGTCAAGCTCGCTGACTTGGTTTACACAAGCCATCGTATCCCAATTGTGTAGATCGATGCTCATGCTGTTGATCACTGGAGTGTCTGGCCCAGACTCTATTATTTTCCGCCATATAGCTGGAATATTGCTGAGTGCGGCGTTAAACAACAACCTAACTGAAGCAAACCTCGCCGCAAATGCACGCTCCCCCGCCCCCGCCACTGATTATGACGCCCTTACCTCCAACACGATCCCGTTCTAGAAAGAGGAGAACGTAACTCATTAGTGTAGAGAAAGCTCTCTCTCTTGTCGGTTGTCATCAAATACACATCTTTGCTTGCAGAAACCTGTACGGAGGTGCGTCATTCCAGTCTATCGATTTGACGTGGGGTCATTACTAGTTAGCGGTCTATGACTTAATTGCTTTGCTGTGAAACGTTGGACCTTCAGTCAGCAGCCAGACCGAAGCATACCTAGGGTCTCCATCTGGCATTTTCGTCGAGGTGTGGCATGTCAGACTTCCTGAACGATGACTAGAGGTTTTTGTCTGACTTCCGCAATAATTATTCTGAAGACTGCAGTGAGTGTCAATAATAGCAGCTGGTTTTCGGACCTTTTAAAATGAATGTTGCTGGACATTTTTACGAATATGTCATGCTTCTTGCAAACGTTCTGCAGGTGGGACAACAGTTGCTTGACTTCGTGTATTCGACCAAATGAACACACTCATTAATTCACAAGATCACGAAAGAAACTATTCCATGGCACAATAACTTTTGTACCTAAATCCCTGAACTATCGACATCGTCATCATGGCATTATACTAACCTCACTGAAGCCGCCATCTTCACCTGGATGACTGGTGTCGCCGTCACCCCGTCTACTGGGACTACACATGTTATGGTGAGGGCGATTGTGCCGTCGCCTCCAATGACTTTAGTTGCGCTAATAGGCTGCTTGTATATGAAGATGGTTCCCTGGTGGACATTGAATTCAACATTTTAACTATATATTTCATACCGACGTTAAAATCTGTTGATGCCAATATAAATAACACTAACCTGACGACCAAAAGAAAACGCGATCATGGTTATCACAATAATCTAATCTAAAACACAAAAGATAGATGCATGAAGTATAAAAAGATCAAAATATCAACGGAATCAAAAGTTGCCATATAACAACCGATAGTGGCTTGACAGTTGCCCCAAATTAGATGGGTATAGGTTATAGCACAAACAGGCTATCAGCGTAATGGGCAATGGATACACACACACACCTTAAACCTCACTCACAACACCGCGTCACATTAATAGATTGTTTGACCACCATCTGCTACATGACACACACATAGGGAGTTTTCTGATAATGTCACGTGTGATATGTCGCCATTCTTCTTGGAGGTCCTGGATCAGTTCTTGTTGGTTAGCTGGAGGATGTAGTGGCCAGCATGCAGGTCACGGCAATAGGCTGACGTTGTTTGCCTGTGTGGAGGTTCTGTAGAACTGGGCGGTACAAGGTCTGGCCAGCGTACTGGTCACGGCAATACGCTGACGTTGTTTGCCAGGTGTGGAGGTTCTGTAGAACTGGGCGGTACAAGGTCTGGCCAGCGTGCAGGTCACGGCAATACGCTGACGTTGTTTACCTAGAGGTGTGGAGGTTCTGTAGAATTGTGCGGTACAGGGTCTGGCCAGCGTGCAGGTCACGGCAATACGCTGACGTTGTTTACCAGTGTGGAGGTTCTGTAGAATTGTGCGGTACAGGGTCTGGCCAGCGTGCAGGTCACGGCAATACGCTGACGTTGTTTACCAGTGTGGAGGTTCTGTAGAATTGTGCGGTACAGGGTCTGGCCAGCGTGCAGGTCACGGCAATACGCTGACGTTGTTTACCCGTGTGGAGGTTCTGTAGAATTGGTGCGGTACAGGGTCTGGCCAGCGTGCAGGTCACGGCAATACGCTGACGTTGTTTACCTGTGTGGAGGTTCTGTAGAATTGTGCGGTACAGGTCTGGCCAGCGTGCAGGTCACGGCAATACGCTGACGTTGTTTACCCGTGTGGAGGTTCTGTAGAATTGTGCGGTACAGGGTCCGGCCAGCGTGCAGGTCACGGCAATACGCTGACGTTGTTTACCTGTGTGGAGGTTCTGTAGAATTGTGCGGTACAGGGTCCGGCCAGCGTGCAGGTCACGGCAATACGCTGACGTTGTTTACCTGTGTGGAGGTTCTGTAGAATTGTGCGGTACAGGGTCTGGCCAGCGTGCAGGTCACGGCAATACGCTGACGTTGTTTACCCGTGTGGAGGTTCTGTAGAATTGTGCGGTACAGGGTCCGGCCAGCGTGCAGGTCACGGCAATACGCTGACGTTGTTTACCCGTGTGGAGGTTCTGTAGAATTGTGCGGTACAGGGTCTGGCCAGCGTGCAGGTCACGGCAATACGCTGACGTTGTTTACCCGTGTGGAGGTTCTGTAGAATTGTGCGGTACAGGGTCTGGCCAGCGTGCAGGTCACGGCAATACGCTGACGTTGTTTACCAGTGTGGAGGTTCTGTAGAATTGTGCGGTACAGGGTCTGGCGTTAGTATGTTATGTAGCTGCTTTCCATCAGCTCCGAACAGACAGAACACCAGTGAAGACGACCCTGTGCCCGTCACGTCGTTGCCAACGACCGACGTACAATCCGGGAACATCTGAGTCTCTATCAGTTGATTATGTCTGTGTCGGGGAAACGATACCGGAGTAGGTACATACTGGTCTTGATTGGACGTATGTACGATGGATGTGCCAGTTATTGGCCTGTCTGATACTGCCCGGTCTGTCAATACCTCAGATTAGTTGCACCTATAGAGGAGCAACGAAACCTTCTTGCAATGTAGGTGTGTATGGCTCCTATCTTTATCATACCCGGACCAGCTCGTGTTGTTCCGTGGTGTTGTTCTATCAGAGTCTGTGTCTCACATGCCGTCTGTATCACACACCAGGGCCACCTGGTGTTGTTCTGTGGTGTTGTTCTATCAGAGTCTGTGTCTCACATGCCGTCTGTATCACACACCAGGGCCACCTGGTGTTGTTCTGTGGTGTTGTTCTATCAGAGTCTGTGTCTCACATGCTGTGTCATGCCGTCTGTATCACACCAGGGCCACCTGGTGTTGTTCTGTGGTGTTGTTCTATCAGTGTCTGTGTCTCACATGCCGTCTGTATCACACACCAGGGCCACCTGGTGTTGTTCCGTGGTGTTGTTCTATCAGAGTCTGTGTCAATCATTTCTATACCCTGATTACACGTGTAGTTACAGCTTGCCAAGCATGTTGTAGACGTGTATCACTCACTGAATGGAGCGTTGTTTGTTTGTTTGCGTACCATTGTATTAATTAGGAGATAAACCTACTGTGTGGGAAAATCAGAGGTATATTAACGAAATTATAATAGCTCTAAATGAATAATTTAGAGCTATTTTAATTGAAAAAAACAAACGTTATTTGTTATTACTGAATCTGGAGTTTGTTAGTTATTGACGGTTTGCTACCAACGTGTTGCTGCGCGTTCGGTTTTAAATGAAATTTAGAGCTATTATAATTTCGTTACATACCTCTGATTTTCCAACACAGTAGGTTTATCTCCACTCTACCATGACAATTTTATGTACAATTTCAGTTGGGACTCTTTCTTTGGTTACGAGTCAATACGTGAAGCGGCCTCGCATTCCAATCTCAAGTGGCATCGCCCGAAACGGGGGTGATGGTAGTAAACTGTCAATAACAAGCTCCAGATTCAGTAATAACAAATAACGTTTTGTTTTTTCAATGCATTAATCACCAATCATTAACTGATAAATTGGAAAGCATATATCAAATAAGTTTAAAAAGCTTGGTTCACGTTTGAAAATTCCACCGTAGACCATTTCCCCACCAGAATAATGTTCGATGTTAATTCATCCTCCGTTACCGGATCAAGCTCAGTGGCGATATCGTTGACGAAAGCTGATAATAAATTTAATACGGAAATTATGTAGCAGTCTATTGTTTAAATTTTTACATAACATAGAATCAACGTAAACATATTTTTCTTGCTGAATTTTTATTCGGAAAGCAGACGATGTTTTGATGTTGTTCGACTGAATATTTGTTTCCATGCTTTCGAAGTACTTCTGTACGTATAAACACCTATTGCTGTGATTTACGCAAGTAGTGAGTCGGGCCCGTCATCGCTAAATCTATCTTTAAAGACATATGTGTAATTTCCGACAGCAAATTCGCCGTAATTTATCGATGCATCGGTAGGTTGTTTGGTGTCCGCCATGTTGGTGGGCAGACACAAATAGTGCATTACCGTAAACCATGTATAATTGCGCACGGAAAATCAGAGACCTGTATAATATACCTCTGAATGACTTTAATTAACCAATCACAATCCAGTGTTTACTGAAGTCATGATAGAATTTGTACCTAGTAATTCTTTGCGAGATCGTTTTCTTTTGGCCGTTAGTTAATGTATTAACTTATATCCATACGAAGGTGTGTGACAATATACACTCTTACAGTCAATATACCTCTAGTTTTTACTAATAAACCGATATATTAAGAATTATACTTTGAAATGCCACAATTTAATGGCTTCCTTTGGTATGTACCCCTAAGCAAGACGTGTTAAGTGTGTAAAGCGGCCCCGTTGCATGGCATCCAGGTGGGAAGTCAGCTTTATAACTGTTGTCTGTCAGTGTCAGTTTGGCCTCTTCAGTGGACGTACACACTGAAATAATAAACGGGGGAGTTTTCTAAGTACTTGTTTAATTTACATCCGTGTTAGTTCACTAGTATTCCTTACCTGAAATTTATTTCCATGCTTACTGTGGAATATTCTAAAACGATCTCACGATTTTGTGAGTGAAAATGCTTTTACGCAGCTTTGAATAAGCAATTATGTAATGATATGACTTCGGGGAACCCAGACTGGAGTTAACGCATAGTATTGAGGTGAGAAATAGAACAAAGACTAACGTTTTACCCATAGAGCCGTCCCACCGTGTGTGTCATGTAGGGTGGTGATGTGTGTCATGTAGGGTGGTGATGTGTCATGTAGTGTGGTGATGTGTGTCATGTAGTGTGGTGATGTGTGTCATGTAGGGTGGTGGGGTGGTGTAGTGTGGTGTGGTCATGTATGTAGGGTGGTGATGAGTATCATGTAGGGTGGTGATGAGTATCATGTATGGTGGTGATGTGTGTCATGTAGGGTGGTGATGAGTATCATGTATGGTGGTGATGTGTGATGTCATGTAGGTGGTGATGTGTATCATGTAGGGTGGTGGTGTGAGTAGAGGTGGTGACATGTAGTGTGGGTGGTGATGTGTCATGTAGTAGGGTGGTGATGTAGGGTGGTGATGTATCATGTAGTGTGGTGATGAGTATCATGTAGTGTGGTGATGAGGGTGGTGATCAGTGTATCATAGGGTGGTGATGTGTGTCATGTAGTGTGGTGATGTGTGTCATGTAGTGTGGTGATGAGTATCATGTAGGGTGGTGATGAGTATCATGTAGTGTGGTGATGAGTATCATGTAGTGTGGTGATGTATGAGTATCATGTAGGGTGGTGATGAGTATCATGTAGTGTGGTGATGATGAGTATCATGTAGTGTCATGTGGTGATGAGTATCATGTAGTGGTGATGATGTATCATGTAGGGTGGTGATGAGTATCATGTAGGGTGGTGATGTGTGTCATGTAGTGTGTGTGAGGGTGGTGTGATGAGTGTGTCATGTAGGGTGGTGATGAGTATCATGTAGGGTGGTGATGAGTGTCATGTAGTGTGGTGATGAGTATCATGTATGGTGGTGATGTGTGTCATGTAGTGTGGTGATGAGTGTCAGGTAGGTAGGGGATGAGTGTCAGGTAGGGTGGGGATGAGTGTCAGGTAGGCTGGTGATGAGTGTCATGTATGGTGGTGATGTGTGTCAGGTAGTATGGTGATGTGTGTCAGGCAGGGTGGTGATGAGTGTCAGGTAGGGTGGTGATGTGTGTCATGTAGTGTGGTGATGTGTGTCATGTAGGCTGGTGATGAGTTTCAGGTAGGGTGGTGATGTGTATCATGTAGGGTGGTGATGAGTGTCAGGTAGTGTGGTGATGTGATGTGTGTCATGTCAGTGTGGTGTGTCATGTGGTAATGATGTGTCAGGTAGGGTGGTGATGAGTATAATGTAGTGTGGTGGTGTGTGTCAGGTAGGATGGTGATGAGTGTTATGTAGGGTGGTGATATGTATCAAGTAGGGTGGTAATGTGTGTCATGTATGGTGGTCATGTGTATTCTCATGGAGCGATGTCTGTAATATGTTATTTCGACGCTTAACACAACATTTGTTTTGCTAAGATAATCCTGTAGTGCTCAAACACTAACTCCTCATTTAATAGTCACATTTAATCTTCACACGTACCAACATTGTATGGTGATGCTGGCGATGTTGTTGTTCGTGTTGTTGAAGCTGTCGATTTTGTTGGTATTGCTGCTGCTGCTTTCTCCTGTTATGACGTCATCACAACTGATAATTTACAAATCATACTTGACATGTGATACGCTGTGTATTCGGATAAACATGTCGAGGAATGTCGCATCATTAGTAACAGAGTACAAGTCGGAGTGAACACTTTGTTTATATTATACAGAGATAATTGAAATGTCTGTGGAGTAACACCTTGTTTTGTTACGCTCTGTGATAAGGAATTCAGTCTCAACAACAAGACAAGTGCACTAAATTACTTCTTTTGTCGCCTTTTCAACACTTTCAAAATCTACAGCATTGGTGCGTCTCCTGTAGTATATAAACATCATTCACAGTGGTTGCTATGCTACCAATACACTAATTTACACCAGTGTATACCTGCACATATTGATTACGTCTCCTTTAAGGACGTTTAAAGTCAAATGTCATTCCCGAAAAAAGGCAGACTTTCTTCCTGCTTCCTTAAATGCTTCAGTCAGTAAGAACATCTTACTGGTATTCTTGTTGACTTTCAAGAATAATTTTTCAAATTGCACCTGCCATTCAGGGGAACATCTGTATGTTCTCTATACACCTGTATAGTTAAGCCTATATTTGGTTCCCGTGCCGTGGTAACGCACAGGTGTACGTACCTACCACGTCATGGTCAGTAAGGTAATAAATAGCACATGTGTACATACCTACCACGTCAAGGTTAGTAGGGTAATAGCACATGTGTACATACCTACCACGTCAAGGTTAGTAAGGTAATAGCACAGGTGTACGTACCTACCACGTCAAGGTTAGTAGGGTAATAGCACATGTGTACATACCTACCACGTCAAGGTTAGTAGGGTAATAGCACATGTGTACATACCTACCACGTCAAGGTTAGTAAGGTAATAGCACAGGTGTACGTACCTACCACGTCAAGGTTAGTAGGGTAATAGCACATGTGTACATACCTACCACGTCAAGGTTAGTAGGGTAATAGCACATGTGTACATACCTACCACGTCAAGGTTAGTAGGGTAATAGCACATGTGTACATACCTACCACGTCAAGGTTAGTAAGGTAATAGCACAGGTGTACGTACCTACCACGTCAAGGTTAGTAAGGTAATAGCACAGGTGTATGTACCTACCACGTCAAGGTTAGTAGGGTAATAGCACATGTGTACATACCTACCACGTCAAGGTTAGTAGGGTAATAGCACGGGTGTATGTACCTACCACGTCAAGGTTAGTAGGGTAATAGCACAGGTGTATGTACCTACCACGTCAAGGTTAGTAGGGTAATAGCACAGATGTGCGTACCTACCACGTCAAGGTTAGTAAGGTAATAGCACAGATGTACGTACCTACCACGTCAAGGTTAGTAGGGTAATAGCACAGATGTACGTACCTACCACGTCAAGGTTAGTAGGGTAATAGCACAGATGTGCGTACCTACCACGTCAAGGTTAGTAAGGTAATAGCACAGATGTGCGTACCTACCACGTCAAGGTTAGTAAGGTAATAGCACAGATGTACGTACCTACCACGTCAAGGTTAGTAGGGTAATAGCACAGATGTACGTACCTACCACGTCAAGGTTAGTAGGGTAATAGCACGGGTGTATGTACCTACCACGTCAAGGTTAGTAGGGTAATAGCACAGATGTGCGTACCTACCACGTCAAGGTTAGTACCTACCACGTCAAGGGTAATAGCACAGATGTACGTACCTACCACGTCAAGGTTAGTAGGGTAATAGCACGGGTGTATGTACCTACCACGTCAAGGTTAGTAGGGTAATAGCACAGGTGTGCGTACCTACCACGTCAAGGTTAGTAGGGTAATAGCACATGTGTACATACCTACCACGTCAAGGTTAGTAGGGTAATAGCACATGTGTGTACGTACCGTCCACGTCAAGGTTAGTAGGGTAATAGCACGTCAAGGTTGTACGTACCTACCACGTCAAGGTTAGTAGGGTAATAGCACGGGTGTACGTACCTACCACGTCAAGGTTAGTAGGGTAATAGCACGGGTGTACGTACCTACCACGTCAAGGTTAGTAGGGTAATAGCACATGTGTACGTACCTACCACGTCAAGGTTAGTAGGGTAATAGCACAGGTGTACGTACCTACCACGTCAAGGTTAGTAGGGTAATAGCACAGGTGTATGTACCTACCACGTCAAGGTTAGTAGGGTAATAGCACAGACGTATGTACCTACCACGTCAAGGTTAGTAGGGTAATAGCACGGGTGTATGTACCTACCACGTCAAGGTTAGTAGGGTAATAGCACAGATGTACGTACCTACCACGTCAAGGTTAGTAAGGTAATAGCACAGGTGTACGTACCTACCACGTCAAGGTTAGTAGGGTAATAGCACAGATGTGCGTACCTACCACGTCAAGGTTAGTAAGGTAATAGCACAGATGTACGTACCTACCACGTCAAGGTTAGTAGGGTAATAGCACAGATGTGCGTACCTACCACGTCAAGGTTAGTAGGGTAATAGCACAGATGTGCGTACCTACCACGTCAAGGTTAGTAAGGTAATAGCACAGATGTGCGTACCTACCACGTCAAGGTTAGTAGGTAATAGCACAGATGTGCGTACCTACCACCATATAGCAAGGTTAGTACCACGTCAAGGTTAATAGGGTAATAGCAGATGTACGTACCTACCACGTCAAGGTTAGTAGGGTAATAGCACAGGGTGTATGTACCTACCACGTCAAGGTTAGTAGGGTAATAGCACAGATGTGCGTACCTACCACGTCAAGGTTAGTAGGGTAATAGCACAGATGTACGTACCTACCACGTCAAGGTTAGTAGGGTAATAGCACGGGTGTATGTACCTACCACGTCAAGGTTAGTAGGGTAATAGCACAGATGTGCGTACCTACCACGTCAAGGTTAGTAGGGTAATAGCACGGGTGTATGTACCTACCACGTCAAGGTTAGTAGGGTAATAGCACGATGTGCGTACCTACCACGTCAAGGTTAGTAGGGTAATAGCACAGGTTAGTGTAGCACATACCTACCACGTCAAGGTTAGTAGGGTAATAGCACAGGTGTACGTACCTACCACGTCAAGGTTAGTAGGGTAATAGCACAGAGGTGTACGTACCTACCACGTCAAGGTTAGTAAGGTAATAGCACAGGTGTGCGTACCTACCACGTCAAGGTTAGTAAGGTAATAGCACAGATGTACGTACCTACCACGTCAAGGTTAGTAGGGTAATAGCACGGGTGTACGTACCTACCACGTCAAGGTTAGTAGGGTAATAGCACGGGTGTATGTACCTACCACGTCAAGGTTAGTAGGGTAATAGCACAGATGTACGTACCTACCACGTCAAGGTTAGTAAGGTAATAGCACAGGTGTATGTACCTACCACGTCAAGGTTAGTAGGGTAATAGCACAGATGTGCGTACCTACCACGTCAAGGTTAGTAAGGTAATAGCACAGATGTACGTACCTACCACGTCAAGGTTAGTAGGGTAATAGCACAGATGTGCGTACCTACCACGTCAAGGTTAGTAGGGTAATAGCACAGATGTGCGTACCTACCACGTCAAGGTTAGTAGGGTAATAGCACAGATGTGCGTACCTACCACGTCAAGGTTAGTAAGGTAATAGCACAGATGTACGTACCTACCACGTCAAGGTTAGTAGGGTAATAGCACAGATGTACGTACCTACCACGTCAAGGTTAGTAGGGTAATAGCACAGGTGTACGTACCTACCACGTCAAGGTTAGTAGGGTAATAGCACAGATGTGCGTACCTACCACGTCAAGGTTAGTAAGGTAATAGCACAGATGTACGTACCTACCACGTCAAGGTTAGTAAGGTAATAGCACAGATGTACGTACCTACCACGTCAAGGTTAGTAGGGTAATAGCACAGGTGTACGTACCTACCACGTCAAGGTTAGTAGGGTAATAGCACGGATGTGCGTACCTACCACGTCAAGGTTAGTAGGGTAATAGCACAGATGTACGTACCTACCACGTCAAGGTTAGTAGGGTAATAGCACATGATGTACGTACCTACCACGTCAAGGTTAGTAGGGTAATAGCACAGATGTACGTACCTACCACGTCAAGGTTAGTAGGGTAATAGCACGGATGTACGTACCTACCACGTCAAGGTTAGTAGGGTAATAGCACGGATGTACGTACCTACCACGTCAAGGTTAGTAGGGTAATAGCACGGGTGTATGTACCTACCACGTCAAGGTTAGTAGGGTAATAGCACGGGTGTACGTACCTACCACGTCAAGGTTAGTAGGGTAATAGCACGGGTGGTAATAGCACGTACCTACCACGTCAAGGTTAGTAGGGTAATAGCACAGTATGTACGTACCTACCACGTCAAGGTTAGTAAGGTAATAGCACAGATGTACGTACCTACCACGTCAAGGTTAGTAGGGTAATAGCACAGATGTACGTACCTACCACGTCAAGGTTAGTAAGGTAATAGCACAGATGTGCGTACCTACCACGTCAAGGTTAGTAAGGTAATAGCACAGATGTATGTACCTACCACGTCAAGGTTAGTAGGGTAATAGCACAGATGTACGTACCTACCACGTCAAGGTTAGTAGGGTAATAGCACAGATGTACGTACCTACCACGTCAAGGTTAGTAGGGTAATAGCACGGGTGTATGTACCTACCACGTCAAGGTTAGTAGGGTAATAGCACGGGTGTACGTACCTACCACGTCAAGGTTAGTAGGGTAATAGCACAGGTGTACGTACCTACCACGTCAAGGTTAGTAGGGTAATAGCACAGGTGTACGTACCTACCACGTCAAGGTTAGTAGGGTAATAGCACAGATGTACGTACCTACCACGTCAAGGTTAGTAGGGTAATAGCACAGATGTACGTACCTACCACGTCAAGGTTAGTAAGGTAATAGCACAGATGTACGTACCTACCACGTCAAGGTTAGTAGGGTAATAGCACAGGTGTGCACGTACCTACCACGTCAAGGTTAGTAGGGTAATAGCACAGATGTACGTACCTACCACGTCAAGGTTAGTAGGGTAATAGCACAGATGTACGTACCTACCACGTCAAGGTTAGTAAGGTAATAGCACAGATGTACGTACCTACCACGTCAAGGTTAGTAGGTAATAGCACAGATGTGCGTACCTACCACGTCAAGGTTAGTAGGGGGTAATAGCACAGATGTAGGGTAATAGCACGGATGTACCTACCACGTCAAGGTTAGTAGGGTAATAGCACGGGTGTATGTACCTACCACGTCAAGGTTAGTAGGGTAATAGCACAGGTGTACGTACCTACCACGTCAAGGTTAGTAAGGTAATAGCACAGATGTACGTACCTACCACGTCAAGGTTAGTAGGGTAATAGCACAGATGTGCGTACCTACCACGTCAAGGTTAGTAGGGTAATAGCACAGGTGTATGTACCTACCACGTCAAGGTTAGTAGGGTAATAGCACAGATGTGCGTACCTACCACGTCAAGGTTAGTAGGGTAATAGCACAGATGTGCGTACCTACCACGTCAAAGGTTAGTAGGGTAATAGCACAGATGTACGTACCTACCACGTCAAGGTTAGTAGGGTAATAGCACAGGTGTACGTACCTACCACGTCAAGGTTAGTAGGGTAATAGCACAGATGTATGTACCTACCACGTCAAGGTTAGTAAGGTAGTAAGGTACCACGTCAAGGTTAGTAGGGTAATAGCACAGATGTACGTACCTACCACGTCAAGGTTAGTAGGGTAATAGCACAGATGTACGTACCTACCACGTCAAGGTTAGTAGGGTAATAGCACGGGTGTATGTACCTACCACGTCAAGGTTAGTAGGGTAATAGCACGGATGTACGTACCTACCACGTCAAGGTTAGTAGGGTAATAGCACAGAGGTGTACGTACCTACCACGTCTACCACGTCAAGGTTAGTAGGGTAATAGCACAGATGTACGTACCTACCACGTCAAGGTTAGTAGGGTAATAGCACAGGTGTACGTACCTACCACGTCAAGGTTAGTAAGGTAATAGCACAGGTGTATGTACCTACCACGTCAAGGTCAGTAAGGTATTAGCACAGGTGTACATACCTGCCACGTGAAGGTTAGAAAGAGTAGCAGTGCCTTGACAGTGTTCATCCTGAAAAGAGGTAAGAACGTATATTCAGCTGTTGCTTAAAGGTTTTCGATAGAGTCGTGTCTCACTGCTAAACAACACACAATTTTTGCGGTGTAAATCTTGTCCGAGCAATTATGATTTCATTTCATATCGGGTATAGGGTGGTGTGTGGTGTGGTGCGTGGTGCGTGGTGCGTGGTGCGTGGTGCCTGGTGCGTGGTGTGTGTGGCGTGGGTTTGGATGTTGGTTGTCGGGTGTGCTGATTATACCAGCAATACAAGGATATATCCAGATATATAAGTTGATGGGGGATTTAGATGGAATTTGGATCCAGGTTAGCCCAAAAAATAGTTTCACGCAGGATGTCCATGTATGGAGCCAAATAGCTACTGCTTCATATATAGTATGACCAGAAATTATTGAGAATTTTAGGAATATGTTTAATTGGATTTCTAGTATAAACAACCTTGACCAGCTATCAAGTGCTTGGGTTCATTCAAGAGAGACAACTCCGTTAATCCTTTTTCAGTAGTTTGTGAAGAGTTATACCCCTTTGTTTACTTGCTAGCAGACGACAGTTTCAGTGATCCTCAGTATGGATGATTTAAACATAAGACCGGCATCATCTCCACACTAACCAGAAGGGCCAAGAACATCTGCTCAACTAAACTACAAGATGAAATCGAACACCTCAAGAAAGTCTTCGTAGAACGTAACCACTTTCCATCCCAAATAGTCAACAGAACCATCGCTGCAACCCTGTCACCTCCTACCAAAAGACCCAAACCAGATTCAGCCCCCATCAAGATATCCATCCCCTACATTGGCAAACCGTCACATCCAATCAGCCGCCTCCTAAAACAACAAGCTGGCATAGATACCACCTTCTCCGCGTCCTCCAATCTTAACAACATTCTCCATGCCAATGGAAATAATGCAATCTCAGTAATTTCTTGTTGTACTGTAGCTGCAAAGACTAGTTCGCTAATACCTGATTACATGCGAGACAGGCATATGGGGAAATCACCTTTGAAGGTATCACTGGAAAACATTGCACTGTGGCATTGTGATGTGCTGAATTCTAAATGTAGGCCGTGTGTTTGTACACCACACAGTGTTCGGACATGCTGCGGTGTCATGGATTCCATACATAGTACGCCTATTGTTATCGAGTAATTTCCCATTGCTTCACGTCGACTGACACACATGTTCTACAATGTCCAACTATGCCAGTGTTTGAAATAGGTTATCACACATCCAACATGGGATGATTACCTGTCATTCATATACCCATATCATCGGCTAATCTAGCATGAGCTTGTTAATGTTTGGCCCTATAGAACCTGAGTTGGATTTTCAAATTCAAAAGCCCCATTCAACTAAATATTCGGCATTACATTTACAACACTTTACATGTTAAAGTTTTAATGATACACATCCGTACACGCTTGTACAACATATTCTTAAAAACGCCGTTTTTCAAAAGTTTTTTTTTTTTGCATTAGGCAATTTTGATGTGGTTTTTTTTGTCATTATTTACAGATTAAGAGCATAAGATATTTATTATTTTCTCACGGTTATGGGTATGTCTGGTTAAACCAAACTGTTGGTCATATTGATGTTAATATTAATGATTTTCGCAGTCGAGCTATTAATATGTTTCACCAGGAATGGCAATGAAGTTTGAATAATAGCACACGCTATGATTGTTATAGGACATTCAAAACTTTACTACAACCAGAAAAATATTTATCTGTACTTACATGCAACGATTTAAGGTATAAGTGTATAATATTCAGACTAGGTTTGCTCAATTTAATGGTAAATGAAGGAAGAAAAATGTCCATTGAGAGGAATCAAAGAATCTGTCCATTATGCAAAGAAGCAGTAGAAAACGAAATTCACTTCACTTTTATCTGTAAATCGTATGCTGACATTAGACAAAAATATACCAGAGTATTATCTGTCAAAAAACCCCGATGTAGCTTTTAAATCACTATTATGTTCTTGCAATGAACAAAATATTAGAAATCTGTCATTGTTTATAAAACACACCAGTAAGTTAAGAGATGAATTGCTGAAAACTTAGTTACAATTGACGTGTAAAAAATACTTATGAATACTAGGCACATAAAGAAACTGTGCATACAAAAATTTAAAATCTAAATTTATCAAACCTGTGTAGACACTTAAGGATTTAAACTCAGAGATTAGTGACATGTATCCAACATGCATGCACGTGCCACGTTCCGTGACGTCAGTGGGTTCGTCCTTGAGACGTGCAATACGTTGTTGCACGTGCATTCCGGGAAAGAGAAACAGAGCAAACGAATGCCACACAATACTGTCACTTAGGAAAGCTCAACCCCTGCCCTTGCGATCTTTCAAAAAATTAAACGGCTATTGAAACGCATAGCATGCCAAGGCTCACGTCTGCACAACGTCATGAGGCCATTGGGTTGGTCCGTGGGGGAATGTCTCAACGACAAGTGGATGCAGATTTCCACTGCCACCGGAACACCATTTCTGCACTGGGGAGACGCTACCAGAACACAAATGACGTCTTCGATCGGCCACGTTCTGGACGTCCACGTGTAACAACGCCAAGACAGGACAGATGGATAAGGGTGACCCATCTTCGCCACGGGTTTCAGACTGCAGTGATGACTGCCCGAACCATCCCAGGACTTCGCCGTATCCACCCCACACAGTTCGACAACGTTTACGTCATCACGGGATCAGACCACGACGTCCCGCCATACGGCCTATCCTGACACGACGTCATCGACAAGCTCGCCGAATGTGTTTGGTGATTGTTCAGGGCAACTTAACTGGTGTGGGCTACAGGGATCAGATTCTTCGACCTGTGGCAATTCCTTTTCTGCAACGTCATGGCCCTGGGTTAACATTCCAACAGGACAATGCCCGCCCTCATACGGCAAAGGTTGCTGTGAATTTCTTGCAACACCACAACGTTGACTTACTGCCTTGGCCTGCAAATTCACCGGATCTCTCCCCGATAGAGCATGTTTGGGACGAGATGGATCGACGTCTACGCCGTCTTCCTCATTCGCCAGATAACGTCCTTGACCTTGCAACAGAACTTGAGAGAATCTGGCGTGACATCCCACAAGCCTTCCTTGCACGTTTGATAGGCTCTGTGCGTCGTCGATGCACTGCTGTTCTCAATGCCGATGGTGGACATACCCGTTATTGAGCTTGTGACATGGTCGTTTGACCCCTGTCCCGCTTGTGGACTCGTGACGTCATTGTGATTGACTTTTCAATTGAAATTCTCCCGACTTGTTATGGTCTCATGATCCCTCCATTAAAGTTTATATGTACCTTTGACATTGTTATCGTACTTATCAACCGGGATAATATTTTGACAATGCACAGTTTCTTTATGTGGCTGGTATATTTATAACTCTGTAAACTGTATGTGGGCCGGCGGCCTTGAATACAATAAAATTCTTGTCTCTCTCTCATACAGATTAAGATGGATAAATTCAGCAACAAGGGTAACATGAACGAATGAATGAATGAATGAATCTCTTTATTTCCTCCAGATTGTAGTCCGAAGATCATTATAAACATGTACATGAAATATTTACAGCAACATAATCACAGCAACATATTCACAACACATTCATATAGTCATATATACATGTACAATGAAAAATGAAAGGTCTAGAATGCACAGTTTAGTGAGGGAAGCAAGGAATATAGGTATTTACAGAAGAGGACAATCATACATCTCCATGACATTTCATCAATATCGTTAGTAACTATTAGTTCACCCCCAAAAAATAGTGATAACATTTCATCTTCAGATAATAATTCTATTTGTACATAAACATCCACATCAAAGAGATCTATAAGCTTTGAAAAGAAATTATTTCTGTTGTACATAGAGTGTTCACAGTGTAGAATTACATGGCAGTCATAATCGTTACAATATCTTTTGCAGAGTTCACAATGTTTTGAGAATTTTCCCCTTGAGTACACAAAACTGTAATATATCTTTAAACTGTGGGTAAAAATACATCAAACAATACAATCTATGTACACCAAAGAAGTTGTGGGTCAAGCGATATCTATTCATATCTTGCCTTACACACACTTGAGAAACCCATCGTTCAGTTCAGATTTATTTATGCAATTAATAGTTATTCTTCGCCATGACGATTTACATGGAAACCTTCCAAAATCGAGATAGTCACTAAGATAATTGAAGAGATTGTATTTTAAACTGGTTTGAATAACATTTATTATAAGATATCCAGAACGAGTGGCGATATGTGGCTGATGTGGCCTGATCAAGGTGATAGGGGAGATAACTGCATGTGGGAGTCGAGTACTGGTACTTCCAGTATGTCAGAGAAGAGTCCATTGCTCGGCCACCCCTGACCACCACGTGAGGCTCCACAGAAACCTGACAACTCGTCATTAACATGACGTATTGCCAAATAACAAAAGTGATTTATTGAACTGAAATGTAGAAATCCCTGTATGCTCATTAGTCAAGTGTCGCAATAATTAGGGACCGTTCATAATCTGTGGCAAGCAGGGGTGATGATGATTAATTTATGGAGGAGCATGTACAATGAATAATAAAATGTATGGGCAGAGTAAGTGAACTCCCTGCATGTCATGTACAAAGTTGCTGCCCCCCCCCAGTTGATGACACCCTGCCTCTTCAGAAAAATATAGCTGACCAACTGATTGTAAAATCAAATTACTGATACATTTGAGTTGTTTTTCGGATCTGCGAGTTCACTGGCTACGCGCGTTACAGTGTGTTAACGCCCAAAGGTCGCTGGGTATAAGATCCCTATAGTGTATGTTATTACGGGAATCAATGTTAAACAAAGCTTCGTTGCTGTTTCACTAGTATATAATGTATACAAGTTTTTGGACCTACAAGAAAGGAATTGCAATTAGACGAGTGTATATTTCAGACTAAACTTGTATTGGTAAGTTATTTGAGATACATTTAGAAGTTGAAGCAGAAAGGAAGGATAACAATATATGGAGAAACCTTTTATTGCAGTGACACTTGCATCACTTGC